AGGTTTTAATTATGGATTAAGTTTATGAATATGAATCCAAAGCTACCATAGAAAATAAAAAGGACGATGTCATTTACTGGTGCGACAAAGATTCTAAAAAAAGTGGTACGAGAACAAGAAAAATGAAGACCGGAAAACAGCCGCAGACGAGGAGGCCGAAAGAAGAAAGATTGGCAAAGGACCACGTCCAGTATTTGAAACAATGGATCCTTGTTTTGGTTAAGTTACGGACATCACAAATCAAAACACTTGTGGAGACTGGAGACGTACATTTCACATAGTGGGGACGAAAATGAAAGCATTAAACCAACAAATAGCCAAGATGGTGCAGAGGAAATCCTGTGTGTTTAGGTACAAGATGACATCACAGTCTTGGTTCCAATGTTCAACAGAAAAGCATAGTTGAACAGGGTGGTAGTCAGTGTTCTGTGGTCATGATTTACCAACAACCTCAAAAGAAGTAAGTATACATTTCATTGTTATCTATAGAAAATTTACTGTTTATTTTAAGGACCACTGGCGTGTTACATTCCAAATAATTTTAAAAAGCTGATGGATCAGTAACTTCACACTTCACACTAAAAATTGGTTTAGTGGAAGAAGAGCAAAGGTTATGGAGACTGTTCATGGGAACATAATTCACAGCAGTGGCAGGGTTATGAAGTGGCAAAATTAAAAAACCAATATTTCGGGCAGGAGTTAACTACAAAAGAAGGAACGAGAAATTGAAGAATTTAATTTTAGGGAAAGGGTTTTAAAACCAGACATTGAATTAAATGTACTTACTTCAAATTAAAACATTAAAGAGTCCATTTTCAATTAAATGATGCTCATGTTTAATGTAATGTTAACAATAACATGAGATATTGTTAGTTTATAAATAAATTTTAATATGTTTTTCACTATAAATGAAATCAACAAAAAAAAATTATTACCAATAAATTTTTACTGTCAAATATTACAATCTGTTTTAAAATGTTGTGTAAAACAACAGCGACAATCACAACTGTTAACACAGGAAACTGTCGTTTCAGAATCCCAAATGTGCACCCAATTCTATTGCGGCTTCCAATGTGTCACTGATAATAGAGCTGTTGTGCTGGAGTAACGGGATATATCAGCAGTGTCAACAAGTATTTTTTAAGGGATAACTTGTTACTTAGAAATATAATAATATAATAAAATTCTCTTAAAATATTCTATCCAAGAGCGCACAACTTTGCAGTTGTGTATTTTCAAACAGATCTTAAACTGAACAATGATTAAAAATAGTACTATCATTTGTAGCTACTGATAATTGTGCCACAATATTTGAAATTTAATCATTTCATCACATATGGCTTGTACATTAACCAAGAGACAATCTTCCTGATTTCTAAAAATTTCTGGATCTTCTCCACCTATAACTTTTACTATTTCATTTTTTGTGTTCTATGTTAACAAAAATTCATATACCTGGTAATTTAATTTTTATATGTGCATATGCAGTCCAAGGCGCCAATGAAGTCTGGAAAACGAGCTAGATGAACAACAATCTTTCACATTTGCTTGCTCGTCTACAATTTTAGGCATCACAAAATTTTTTTGGTACAGTATAATCACTGCTCTAGGTACTCAAGGAATTCTTCTTTTCAAAAACAAAAGGATTTTCAGCACTCCAAACTCTATAATTTTGCGAATTAACGTAGCCATTTAGATGAAACCATGCTTCATCGGAAAAAAATGACAAACCCAAAATTCTGTTGTTGTTCATGTTGTTTTGAAACCATTCACAATATGCAACATGACGAGGATAATCAGCTGGTTTAAGTTCATGGATTGACGATACTTTATAGGGATGCATATGTAATGTTCTTTTTAAAACTTTCTGACAAGTGGTGTATGGGACACCAGATTGCAAAGACACTTTACTTAAAGATTTTTTGAGCTTTGCTCCACTCATTCCCTCAAATCTTCGACGACCTCTTCACTAACTGGAGGCCTTCCTGGTGACTTGCCTTTAGAAATATTTCCAGTGCTGTTGAATCGGTCAACGATTCTTTTTATTTGTGTCATTAAAGACTGTTCTTCAATGTTTAATTCTGGAAATTTTGCCAAATACTCATCCTTGCAAGCTTGAACAGAATACACCCATTCCCCGTCCGCATTTAACGTCCCATTTCGCTAGTAAGACAACAATAAACGTATTTTGTTCAAGAGTGTACCCCATCTTAACCTAAAACAGATTTATTTGAAATATGAATACACATTAATTCATTTCTAGTTACCTTAATCGCTGTTTTCAATCGTTGTAGTTTTGATAAAAACTGGTTTAATTCAATTTAATTTATAACAAAGAAGACTGGAACTACAACACAAGTAAACAAGACGTGCGCGGGAAAGTATTATGACATATGACCAATATGACATTCTTCTGACAGCAAAGCAAAACAAAAATTCCGCATAACTTTAGTGGACTATAATTAATAATTTTTTGAAAGTAAGAAGCGGCATATCAAAACAATTGCGTCAGCGCCTACTTCGACTACAATCATTTATGATAACCCTGTATAGTACAAGAACAACATGGTTTTGTCAAAGGAAGATCGACTGTCACAAATCAATATGAATTTACTCAGTTTGTGTCTACTGCTTTAGATGATGGTTTGCAGGTAGATGTGCTATACACGGATTTGACGAAAGCGTTTGATCGTGTAAACCATTGTGTACTATTTAAAAAACTTGAAATGTATGGATTCTGTGATAATATATTACTCTTATTAAAATCAATGATTATGGGAAGAAGGCAGTTCGTCGAGTATGGTGGATTTAAACCTTTTGAGTTTATTGTAAATAGTGGGGTTGTTCAAGGCTCAAACTTGGGTCCTTTGCTGTTTGTAATTTTCTTCAATGATGTTGTGAAACATCTTAACTGCAAATGTTTCATATACGCAGACGACTTAAAGATGGTTAACATCATAAGATCTAATAATGATTTCTTAAAGCTGCAGGGGAATTTAAATAATTTTATTACTTGGAGTTGTATTAATAAACTAGAAATTAATAAAGACAAATGCAAAATCATGAGTTATACTAGAAAGATAGATAAAATTAACTTTTATGATAATATCAATGGTGTACTGTTACAAAAGTGTAATGCATACAGAGATTTAGGACTCGTAATTGATTCTACTTTGTCTTTCGTCCCACATATCGAACAAATGGTTAATAGCTCTCTAAGAACGGTAGGGGTTATAATAAGAAATGGAACAGATTTTAAAGAAGTATTTAGTACCTATTAAAATATTGTTTTATACTTTAGTGAGAAGCAAACTGGAATATTGTTGCATAATTTGGATGCCTTATTATCATGTTTACATTAACCTCATCGAAAATGTATTACGAAAAATTGCTAAATTCATCTATTTTAAGATGTATGGTACTTATTCGCGTCAGCACTGTGATTCAAGAGGGCTATTTGATATTGTAGGTGAATCCTCACTTCAAAGTCGTAGGAATATGGCATGTATATCTTTTATGTAAAAACTAATAAAACGTATGCTAAGCAACTATTGTAGTAGTTAGTAAATCGAATGATTTTTTTTTTGTTCTTTGTTCTTCTTCGACGTTTCTCCTCTACAACACCAGATGAGTTTTGACCCAATTATCACCTCGTCTTGTCGCTGTTCGTCACCTGGAGTTCCGTCAGAATTTTCAGTGTTTTAATTTCGTGACGTAGTGCTGGCGAGGGCGGAGACAACGGTGCTAGGGTAGGGGCAAGTAAGGAAAGGGTCAGAGAGGAAATTTCGAAGGTGTTGGGAACAAAATAAACTTTCGAGAGAGATTAATTTCTGGATTTGCATAAAGAGGCTCTCCGGAAGCCATGCTGTTTCATTTGACTTCAATGAATTTTGCTTGAAATTGGTAGGCCTGTCACTTCACGTTACTTCCTGTTGTCAAAACTGACATGATTGACAATGACACTTAATTTACGTCAAAATTTGTTATTGAGTATTACTAAAATGTCATAACCATTAACCAAACTTTTCTGAGTGCTCCAAAGTCATATAGCGCCAAGCATTTGAATCAGGTTTGGCAATTGCAGTTCAAGAAGGTTTTCTCAAAATTGGTTAATTCTATTACCAACTCAAACAGTACTTGTTGAACACGCTGTATAAACTTATTAGTGTCCCACTTGGTAATTTTGAGTAGAGTAGAGACAATTCAATAACGAAATTTTTTTAGCCAGCTATTGGGCCGTTCTGTCATTTAGTTGTTCGTAGCGTTTCGGGGATAGCCACTAGGGTTCAACCCTGTTTTGTTCTGATTTATATTACTTAATACTTGTTTTCATTAAATACAGGCTTGCCAAAAATAATCACTTTTTTAATTTTAATTAAGGTTTCTGATCCCACCTACCAACTCTCCTGAGAGTGAGTACCGGGTAAGTGAACCTCCCTTCACTTGTCACTTTTTAAGGTTACAAGTTAAATTGTTCATATTATGTTATGTACTATATAAAAACTCCCCAAAATACATTACTACTTCAAAAGTAGTCATTTTAAACAAATAAAACCTATTACAATACTTTCCTAACTTGCGCTCTGGAAGCAATATTACTAGTCATAACAAGTCCAGGTCCGTTCCAGGTCTAGTACCTAATAGCCAGTTCTTTCTGTAACTTAAGCTGAGTCTATCTTTTATGTCAACATTAACATAATAGTCGACAAATTGAATTTTTGAAATAACGGTAGATATGTTATAATTTCTTACCATTAGTGAGTTAGTTGTATTAAGTAATAATACATTTTTATAAATTTAAAAAATTCCAATTTTCAATATCTCTAATGATTAATGAATCCCTCACTGTATTTCTTGTTGTACCACTTGTTATATTATTATTTATTGCATGAACACTTTTGCTTTTTGAAGTAGAAACTTATACGTAGTGCTAACTACACATCTTGTGATTTTTGTTGCCAGAAAAAGCTCAAATTGCCTAAAATATGATACTTTTTTAGATGGTAAACTTAGATAAAGATAGCGAAATTAGGAAAATGTTTGTCAAAGTTCCATTCGGTTTAGATTTTAAAGTTTATATGTTCAACGTAACAAATCCTATGGAGATTCAAAATGGTGCTATACCTGCAGTCCAAGAAGTTGGTCCTTTTTGTTTTCAGTAAATAAACTCAATATATACTTTCCAAGATTTAAATCAAATTTTCTAGGGAATGGAAAGAAAAAGTTGATGTCAGTGACATCGATGACGAAGATATGATGTTGTACAAAGCTAAAGACACATTTTACAGAGCAGATGGGCCAGGTTGTCTTGATGGAAGTCAAATGATGACAATACCGCACCCCTTAATACTGGTAAAGTTTTAACTTTTGTGGAACTCCATTGACAACTGTGTTTCAGGGTATGGTCAACGCAGTTACTAGAACCAAACCAGGAATGTTAAATTTAGTCAGTAAAGCTATTAATTCCATTTATCGAAATCCTAACTCAATATTTTTAACGGCCAAAGCTATGGACATTCTGTTCGACGGTGTGCTAATTCATTGCGACGTTAAAGACTTTGCCGGAAAAGCAGTGTGTACACAACTTAAGGAGTCTCCAGATTTAAGACATGTTACAGATGACGACTTGGCTTTCTCTTTTATGGCTCCTGTAAGCTTTAACATTGAAAGAAGTTTTATCTAAAATTTACTGTTCTAGAAAAATGGAACTCCAGGCAAAACATTCAAGGTCTTAAGAGGGGTCAAAACCAATCATGATGTAGGAAGAATTCTTGAATATGACGATAAGAAAGAAATGGAAGTATGGCCAACAAAAGAATGTAATCAATACCAAGGCACTGATGGAACTGTTTTTGCACCTTACCTAACGAAGGAAGAAGGTCTAGCTTCTTTTGCTCCAGATTTATGCAGGTAATAAAACGAATAATTGTAGATTCATATTGATTTTTTTGATAAAATACAGGTCACTAGTTGCTGTCTACAGTGGAGATACCAAATACGATGGTATTCCCGTTAGGATATATACGGCTACATTAGGTGACATGTCTAAAAATCCCGACGAAAAATGCTACTGCCCAACACCTGAAACATGTCTAAAGAAAGGCATGATGGATTTATTTAAATGTGTCGGAGTTCCTATTTATGTCTCTTTGCCCCATTTCTATGAATCTGACGAAAGTTACCTTAGAGGAATTAAAGGCCTCAACCCAAATAAGAAGGAACATGGAATTCAGATTCTATTTGAATCGGTATTTCTTTTGCTTTTAAATTAATTTCAGCTAAATTTGTCTTTATTTTAGATGACTGGAGGTCCTGTGGCGGCAGCAAAACGACTTCAGTTCAATATGCCTTTAGAACCAAACGAAAAAGTGCAAATATTTAACAAGTTGCCCAATACGGTTTTACCTCTGTTTTGGGTCGAAGAGGTATGTGGTGATGACAACACAGTAGTTGCTAAATTATAGTATGTTATTTTCTGCAGGGAGTGAAATTGAATAACACATTTACGGCTCCCTTAAAATCACTCTTCAAGATACTGAAAATAGTGAAAATAGTAAAATGGGTTGTTTTGGTAGGTTGTCTAGGAGGTTTAGGTGCAGCAGGCTATCTCTTTTTTTCAAAAAAAGGAGAAGCAAATATTACACCAGTTCATAAAGTAAAACCTGCTGAAACAAATGGAGTTAGCACGATTGGAAGCGCTGGTTTTGGTGGTCAAGTGAACCATGCGATGTCGGACAATGAAATAAATGAAAAATATTGACATTTTTTTTAGAAAATCTTTTAATTATGTAATAACCAAAATAGAATTTGATTTATCTAGTCTTGTTAAGTTATAGTTTATTTTTATATGTAACAACGTAATTAGATAATTAATTCCCAGATACGTCAGGTTGATACTTAGAATGTTTGTGGTAGATGCATTTGAGATAGTTGCGTCATCATTATTTTTATATAAGTTTATGTTATATTGTTAAAATAAAATGCCAAAAACTAAAAGTGCGAGGCTGTAACGAAATGTTGCTAGTCAAATAAAAGTAACTATATTTCTAAATAATTTTTATTTTTGTGTTCTAATTTACCATTACCATAAAATGTATCTATGCAAACTCTGGTAAAAACGGTATACCAGTAGTTTTACATATAAGTATAAAAGTAATAATAAGTGGGAAAATATATACGACACCAATCACTTGTCAGTTGTAAATTTTACATACTTTAAGATGGCCATCAATACTGACGACATTAGAAAGTAGACTTCATTGTAGGCTTTCTATTTTCTATTCGACACATTGGTGAATTGCAACAGAGATACTTCGAACGTCTATCGGTTTGTCGATCTGTCTTCGCAACTACTCAAAAAACTGAAATTTTGGGTGTGTTTCAAGTGGAGATGTTAACTTGCACATTTCTTTGTAGGTGGTGTTACCCTTGTTTCTAAATTTATATATTTATCTGTAGTTTATTGTAAAGATATAAAAAAAATACGAATGTCCGAAAAGACTTTTTGCAAATTTATGATTGTATCGCATTCGAGAAAGAAAAGTCCTATTACATTTCAGTAGATGTTTAATGACCTATCATTAAACGTTGTAGCACTGTTAAAGATCTTGGTGTAAGTTTTGATTATTCCTTATCATTTGATTACCATATTGCTGATATTACTGATTATTACTTCAATTAAGGTGTTGGGGTTTGTCATCAGAAATTGTGCTCCTTTAAAAATGAACTAGCACTCAAAACGAAATTAGAAAACTGTCATATGGTCTAGACTTCATTTTATACTTGTCATATTGGTCAACTGGAAAACGTCCAAAGCAAGTTTGCTAAATTTTTGCACTACAAGTTATTCCAAAGTTACCCTGTCAGAGGTTGTGACCATTTATTATTGCTTGATAAATAGAGTCTTTATTGACTGGATTTCAGACGCAAGCTAAGTAGGGTAAAAGCACTGCACTGTTATATAATCTTTAATTTTCTTCCCAATGTTAACAACTATGTAGACAAGTTTTTTTTATCCTTTTATTTGATACGTGTAGAGCCGTAGTTGTAAAAGCTTCTCTGTAGAAAGAGTTATTTATGAACACATTTGCAATTGGTATCTAAATGTCTAATTTTTGGCTTAGTCTGAACCATATCACTGTATTTTGGTTCGAAAGTTAAACCTGTTGATTTTCGTATTTAGAAACCATTTTCAAATGTACATCCTGTCTCAAGTCGATATGCGCTTATAATTCATACATGTGGGTTCTATTTATATGAAAGAAATAATTATATTTAAAACGTACAAACAAATATTTTATGTTCGTTTATAAATTTACATAGATTTTTAATTTGTTTATAAAATGAAGATAAAAAATATATATAAATAAATTCTTCCAACTAATTTTAAAATACCATATGTTAAAAAAAAACACTCCTCTATTAGGTCGTGTAATTTATTTTTAATTATTTTTTTAACTTCAAATTAATGATGTGGGCAACATCAAAACGTTTTTTACTCAATTTGACAGTGGTTCAAATAGCTACAATAAGACTAAACGAGTTTTTTGTATCATATGGTATATTTGATATTTCATAGCAATAAAAAAACTGAAACATGGTTATATCTGATTTGCGTTACCACATCGACGTATATCTGATGCTGGTATACGTTAAATCTCATCAGAATTGAAACAAAATGTATTCGAACAACTAAAAAACTGATGTGATTCTGATACATATTGATAAAGTGTTGTGTAGAGAACATTATTCGTGGAGTAAATAAATGACCTGACGAGCTCTTGTTTTGATTTGTTTATTTTTTATTTTAGCCCAACAATTGGTATTTATTTCCACATTATCAAAGGCCGACATTTAGTTTCGCTTAAAAAAATTGTGATATTAAATATCAAAGACTGCTATGTAATTGTATTGTATCATTCGTAGCATTTTTTGAAATTTATAAGAGAGGAGCTTTTGCACAGACTGTTTTTGTAAAGAAAACTCGAGCTGGTATGCTAAATATTTTATTTTTAATAATCGGTGTGACTGTGGTGAAACTATGTAAATAAGTTATCGTTCCGGTTCTTTATTGGAAGTCTTTACATGCTTAAAAATTTTATGACTTAGAAAAAATTAGAAACGTATCGTTGTCAGATGGACTCTTTGTACTCAAAAACTCGTTATGTCAAAAAAATAACACCGTATTATGCTTTCCAAAATCGACGATGTACGAAACATTTATAACAACCCTGTGTATCTAAGTATGGAAGCTATTTCGACCCCCATTAAGGTGAAGTTGCATCAATGCAGCAAAATCCGACGATGCTCACTATTCGCTTATCTGTGCAAAGTTTCTGCAAATGTCTTGATTCCGTAATTTAAATTTCATAAAATGAACTATTTCGATTCGTTCATTCGTTCAAGGTCTGTCTTCATTTATCTGCATTTTCTTGGCAACTAGAACATCCCTATGTAAGCAGCAAAGGTTTCAAGACGTTACTCATACCTCGTCCTTAGTAATTTCACTACAATTCAACCAGAATGCAGTACTACAGGTTCGTATAATGAAGAAGTGGATGAACACGATTTAGAACATAAGTATTTTTTTTATGCATGTAAGTATCTAACGAAGCACCCCTCTGGGTTGCTTTATTTGTTACGTCTAAGTTTTGATGCAGTTGTAGAGCAAAATAAAGGGACATATGAATACTTCTAATAATTGTTCTTTTATTTGTTTTAAGTGATAGTTTTAAGAGCACCTATAATACATTTCTTTGAATCGACAGATTATAACACTTTCTCCCTGAAATTTAACCAGTTCTCAAAATTTATAGAAACTGTGCTGGGAGATGCTAACATCCTTCCCATTACACTCAAGTAATATAAATGGTTTGGAGACACAGTTTCAAGTCTACCTTCATTTTACACATACTAGCATTAAGAACAGGTACGTGAAGCACCAAAAAAAAACTAAAAAGCTTACTCTTCGTACCAACCGTGCACTTGTTCAGGATCTGTTCCTGAAGAAAATCCAGCCACTGGTAAATTCCCAGACCCGAACTCAATAAATTTATTTAGTTATATAAATAATATATTGATACACGTGACAGTTTCGGGAACCCTGTCAATAAACCCCAACTCCGGCATAGATATGGCTTCATTTTAACTAACAACCTTGAAGTAGCAAAAACAATAGCTGACATTTTTCAAGAAATGTACACAGGAGAAAACCTCCTTTTGTACCTTCTAGATTCAACACGACAAGATGTCAGTTAGTGATCTTGGATTTAAGGTTTACAGAAGATCTTGTATTCAGCACACTAACGAAACTGAGGAAAACTGTGTCGCCGGATCCAGATAGGACAGATTCGGCAATTTTAGTTAACTGTGCTTGTGCTCAGACAAAATCATTAAGCATGCTTGTGTAAGAATATTTCAATACTAGTGAATTATCTAACTGGAAAGTGGCCGTATTACAAAGTTTAAGAAAGGTGATAAATTAAATGGGACTAACTCTGGTGCAATTAGTTTAACGTCACTTGCAGTAAAAACGATGGAATTGTCGATAATATGCTGAACATCAACACGGTTTCCTTTTTGGTAAATCGGTAAAGACCAATTTTGTCTGTCGTATTAGAGACTCGTCCAGGAATTTGGGTAACAGTTCTCCTATCGACCGCGTATATTTTGATTTCCTAAAATGTTTTGACAAAGTACCAGTTCAACCTTTACTACATAAGTTTGAATACTAGGGCATTGGAGGTTCATTGCTGAAGTGGAACAGATCATTCCTCAATGACAATTTTTTTTAGTTAACATATTTGACAAATTCCGTAGCAAACGGTCTGTTCTAAGCTGCTTCCCACAAGGATAGGTATTAGGACCTCTCCTCTTCATTGCTTATACACTCGTTTTGGTTAGTAATGTACAATCAACCTTTGTGATCTGGGCCGACGATGTAAAAATCTATAACAACAACAATGAAAAAAACAGAGAAAAACAATCCCAAAAAAAAACTTACTTTGTCGACAATCAGACAACAGTACAAAGCCTAGAATCTCACAAGGACTTAAGGGTTGCCTTAACATCCGAGTTATCATGATCTCTTCATATTGGCAACGTAGTCAAAAACGCAAATTTTGTAGTAGGAAATCTTTCACTAAGGCATCCACAACATCAGTTACTAAACTACTCAACACATTCATCCGTTCTCATTTGGAATTTGCAAACTGTGTGTGATATCCCTTTGGGATTCCATAGACCGTCATACGACACCATGCTTCATTTAATGAAATTACAGCCGCTAGAAGAGAGGAGAATCATAGAAAATGTAATTCTTACCTACAAATCCTCTACTACGCCCAACCCTGCGATAAGACATAATTTTGTTCTTGCCACGGACAGTAGAACCCGTGGTCAATGGCTTAAGTTAGAAAAAGGAAACTTTCAAACTGAAGGTAGAGAAGTCATCCTTCCAAATAGTAATCAGCGAAGTAGACAACTATCGAACGTGTAACCACGCTCTCCTTCAAGATAGCCTATAATCGGTTTACGTCAATCTAACAGCTTCAAATAAATTAAAACAAATAATTAAACTCTAGTTTCGTTTGATAAAAAGTATTCAGGATGTTTTTTGAGAAAAGTGAGCCATGCCATTTTTTCTTCACGTTGGATAAACTGATTCACAAAACAGTTTGTCTGTCAGTCCTTGAGACTGACAGGACTGATGTTCACTTGAGGCTGATTTGCCACATTTATTGTTATTTGGAAATCACCATCCCACTTGTTCTATTGAATTGGAAAATACAAAGTGTGAAATTGCTGGCAACAGTGTTACAGTTTTTGTCAGATTTTCTACCTTAGTTAACTTAACTTACAGTATTTGCCATTTCTACTAAAACACCACTTGTTAATCGTAACCAATTGCTAACTTTTAAGCAAAATCAATAGGTGGTGTTTCAATAGAAATGGCAAAGACAATACATGATAAATTTCATTTTCATTGAGAATCAAATTACTTACTAGATTCACATCTCTAAAAACATCCTGACCGGTATTAAATTTTGGTCCGTTCTTTTTTCACTGTTTAAAGCATAAACCATGATTTTTGCAACAGCGAATGTAAGTTCTATAGCTATTAAATATGTGAGGTTTTCCAGTTTTCAAAATATCTTGAAATACCATAAATAAAAATCTCATAAAGCTTCAACGTTATAACAGTAGCAGTATTATCACTTCTTGTTTTCTTAAAGTCCCTGTTGTTTGTTCCAAAAAGATCCAAATTTTGCGAACAATGCAATATTGTATTCCGTATGAAGAAGTTTGTAGTTTTACTGGTTTCTTAGTCTTATCGTGCAATACAGTTTTGCTTAACACGCAGTACAAGGCAGTCCCATTGTCATGATAAGAAAATTGTGCGGTACAAATTTAGCATTGAAATATCGTAGTCGTGACTGGAAACACAAATACAATAATAGTTGTCGATATAAAAAAATACACTGACACTTAAGAACTTTTCCCTACAGTCTAATTTCGGAACTCCATGTATTTTGTCCACATACCGACGAATGATCTGAAATGTCGACTATTCGAGGTTATTCCACAACGTAATCTTTTGAAAGGAGATACTTCATTAAGGTCCTTGCGTCGTTAGTTATAATAGAGTAAATACTATAAATAAGTAAATGTAAGTAATATAAGCAGTATAAATAAAATAGTATTTGAGGTGTCTCTAAGTTTTCCCTAAACTCTATTGTAAATCCATTTAGAAATCAATATGCAAATTCGCCCCAAAAAGTGAAAATTTGGCTACATGCGAATATTGCAAATAATCTGTGTCAAATATACACAATGAGTATCTACCTAAATAAATAATAATATTATAATATTACATACTTTAATTTTCAAAAATTATCTTACTTATTCTGTATGGCAGATTGGACAATACTTTTCTTATACTTAGTTAATAAGACTTTACCGTTCAAATTAACTTTTCTTATTTTAATTAATCGAATTTTTTTACTTTGCAGAAAAATATAATTTCCCCACGAATTAAAATTCTCTCTGCTCCTAAACACCCTCCCTAAACTATTTAATCATGAGTTAGGTTAAACTTTTTCTTTTTATATTTTGTGTGTAAATTTCAACAAATTATTTTAAACTCAGAAAAAGTTTTTCCCTTTTTTAGAAAACGTTGATAATAAAGCGTGAACAAATAACGGCCACATCAATACAAAGATTTTATTAAATTTTTTAGAGGATTCCTTGCTTTTCAAAATGGAAAAGAATGATTAAATATTTCCTGTCGATAACGGTTTTCTCGTCCACGCGCATGCGATAATACTGTATAACTGAACTATTCACACCTGAAAACTAAGGTGTTTTGTCACTATCAGAGTGTTTGAATAGAAATTTGAAGATAATTTTACAAGTATCTACTTCTGTGGACATAATTTAAAAACATATATAAAAAATGTAGCTTTTTCATTACAAGAAATTGATATTAAACTTGATAAAAAAGCAGAAAATCAGTTTTAAATAATTTGGAATTCTCGTCTAAATGTAAAATATACATATGTACAAATACTCCAAATATCGATTTCTTTTAAGAAAACTGTCTACGTTAAAAATCAATGTCTAGTTGAACATAAACTACCCATTATCAACCTTCACCCCGTTTTGCCCGAAGAAGATGATTAAGATAATTTATTCATAAAGCTCATCCTTTGCTCGTATTTAGTTCTCGTAGTCTTAATGTCGTCTGGTATTATACATAATTAATAAATAGATCATTTACCTACATTTCACAGACGTGGTTTATCTAAGCATCCCCACCACCTAATGAAAATAAAGCACAAAGTGTTTCAGTTGACGTGTAACTATCGGGAAGATTTCCAGATTTTACAAAAATGAACAACATATTAGATACCAAGCTGAAACAGCATCACGTGATTATGATAGTGTCCATGACGGCTATCATTTTTACAATAATATTTGGTTTCTTGTTATATATGCCTCTGCTGAGAGTTGCGATAAAGTCGGTAAGTAAAGTAATTTTGGCGAAGTTATATTGTGTACAACCGTTTTTAAAGCAAAAAGCTCTCAAATCGGGTAACGAAATGCGGGATTTCTATCTAAAATTGCCGATTCCTTTGGATTTTCGCATCTACTTTTTCAACGTAACCAACCCACTACAAGTACAAGAAGGTCAGAAACCTATCCTGCAAGAAGTTGGGCCTTATTGTTACGAGTAAGTACGTTACGCTCAAACTATGTAATTTACTATTTCAATTATTTACGAAACGAGGATATAATTCTGTGGCTTTTGATAATTATGTATAATTATATTTATGAATGAGATTTGTTCTCTATAATAATCACAACATTACATAAGCACCAAAAAAACTGAAATTAACAATGATCTTGCTAAACGTGAATTAACCAAAATTTTCCCGGATTTAGCGCGTACAAGGAAAAAATAGTTATTGCAGAAGACAAAGCAAACGACACTTTGACATACAATCCTTACGACACCTACTTTTTTAACCAAACTCGAAGTGGTGACCTTTCTCAAGACGACTACGTCACGATCCTCAATCCCCTCGTTGTGGTAAAATAACACTTAGTGACATACAGGTTTTGCGATTGGTAATCGTTGCTATTAATTTAAGGGTATTATAAATGCAGTGGCAATCCAGAAACCACAATTTCTATCTGCCGTAAATAAAGCTTTGCCCATCGTCTTCAAAGAAGACTATTCTATATACCTCACGACCAGAGTGAGAGACATTCTCTTCGACGGTGTTCGAATAGATTGTAACGTCAAAGACTTCTCAGCAACTGCACTTTGTTCGCAGTTTAAAGGCCAACCTGTAATGAAAGAAATCGAGAAAAATGTTTTCTATTTTTCCTTATTTGGATCGGTAACAATAACTTGATAGAAATATTTAAAATATTAACTAAGGTTTTAGAGAAATGGTACAGTTCCGCAGCAAATTACCGTGTACAGAGGTATCAAAAATGGCGAGAGTTTAGGTGAGGTTGTCTCGATCGATAACCATACGGACCTACAAATATGGCCTAAAGGCTCATGTAACAAATATCGTGGAACAGACGGTTGGATTTTTCCGCCATTCTTAAAAGACAATATAGATATTGTAGCCCCCGATTTATGCAGGTAATTTTATTTACGAGAATAAAATGCTTTTAATCGTAAATATTTTGTTTTTCGAAATAGGAATTTTCAAGCAAAATTTGTTGAAACTTTGAGATTTCACAACATCAAAGTCAGGAAGTATTTTGCCGACCTTGGAGAAGCAAATCCTGAAGACCAGTGTTTCTGTCCAGCGCCTGATAAATGTTTACCTGAAGGAGTGGTAGATTTAACCAAGTGTTTACAAGTGCCTTTAATGTGTACCTTGCCCCATTTTCTACGAGTTGACGAAAAACTCTTACAACAAGTCGAAGGTCTGCATCCTGACACCGAAAAACACATAATATTAATTTATTTCGAATCGGTATGTTTTGTGCCCAGGAAATTTTGCAAAAAGGAATTTAAATTTGAACTTTTAGATTACTGGAACCCCCGTGGTAGGCCAGAGGAGAATTCAGTTCAATTTAGAGCTAAAAACTATTAAAAAAATTAACATTATGCAAACAGTCCCAGAGGCCCTTCACCCCATTTTGTGGTTAGAAGAGGTAATATTTCTCAAATGTGTTTGTGTTGTAGTGATTTACTGTGACTGATTCAGGGTGTTCAATTGGAAGGATTTCTCTTAGATAAAATTATTACCGCCTCTACGCTTTTAAAAGTGGTGTCAGTTGGTCGTTACATAACGTTGATAGGATTCATAGAAATATTTGCCTATGGATGTTACCAAGCGTACAAAGACTGGAAACTGTCTAAAGTGGGTCCCGCAGAATCTCCTAGCAAAAGTGTGAGATCAAGTGGCGGTCAACACCGAAAAATTAATACTCAAGAGATACTTAAAGCAATTAATTTTGCCAATAGGAAAGACGAAGCAACCACATAAATTTTTCAGTATGCACATTGAATAGTTAAATTTTACTAAATACTTTATTTTGCACATAATTTACATAATTGATTGTTAATTGTTAAACAAAAATAATTTTTGTAATATAATGTGATTTCTCTGAGTTTTGTTTCTTTTTAACCATAACAACGACGCTACAGGGGATTTAATGATCTAGGCAAGTTTAGTACGCAACAATGAATTCTAATTAAAGGTCGCTAGTAATTACTAGTCGCCAACTGTAATGGTTAACATTTTTTATCAAAAATATGTTTAATTTAAAAATACCTCTCGTTCTAATCCCCTCCACATACCTACGATACAATTAAATTTCATTGTTAACTCTTTTCCAGAATTGTTTAGATGTTCGTGCAATATGCGCTGTTACAAAAAAGTGTTTATATTCTCATCATGTTGTTTCATCATGACTGTTATTTTTGGGTTTGCGGCGTATCGGTCGATTTTTGAGTACGCAATACGAGACGTAAGTTTTGTTCACTGATTTTCGACAAAATTTTGTAAAAATAATGATAATTTATAAATTTTAGCAAGTGTCACTTCATAAACGAAATTATGTACGACAGTTTTATTTAAAATTTCCCATGCCCTTAGACTTTCGTGTGTACTTCTTTAATGTAACCAACCCAGAAGATGTACAAAAGGGAGGAAATCCGATTTTAAAAGAAGTTGGACCTTATTGCTACGAGTAAGTACAGTTGAATTACATTCTAGTCAATACAATATTTCAAAAAAAAAGTCGAGGCCTAAGTTACCTTGACCTACTTTCGCCGTCGTCTATCATGCCCTATATACGTTGCTACAGTTTTGCAAAAAATATCACTACTTTTTTGGTTTTCCACGCATCTGAAGTGACTACGTTTAAGTTTTTTCACTATTAAGAGAAGTTGTATTTAAAATGAAACTTACAGTAGTTTTGAAATTTTAATACGTAGCGATAATGGCATAATTTCCTAAGACTATTACATACCCCGATATTATCGTCGTTTTATTCCTACCACCAACAAAAACGTAATATTTCATTCATCATAGTTTTCTACTAAAACATTTATTAGTAGACTTCAGTCAAGGACACCGAGAACGTAGATAATAAGAGCAAGATTACAACTTACCCAGAACCATAATTTTTTAATGATACAAATTAATAAAATTAATAAATAACATTCGATACGGCTGATAATATTGTACGTCGATTTAAAATTGTTGTTTACGACATACGATATATATAATGATTTCTGTTATAACTCACAAAATATCTATGCAACAAGTTAACACAGAATTGATGAGACGGTTCTCAAAATTGTATTTAAAATATTTTTGAAAAATAGAGTTTGAAATGTGGCATAATTTGTCTTTCTTTCTGCACAATATTTTTATTCTTAGAATTGCTGATACAAAATGTCCAAAAAAATTCATTTAAATTTTCAAAAATTTGTAACACAGTCTAATTAATTTTACGTTGAACACGTCAACATTAATATACTCATCAAAAAATTGATGACATTATCTAAAAAATTGTAAAATTAAATTCCCAGACGATTTCTTTTTTTTTACCTGGGCGAATGATAAAGTTACTGTGGTTTAGTCCATGTTTCATTTATTTTTACTGAAGCTTCATCCGATTAGGAATGAGTAAACGAGTTACGTTATCAAAAAATTCTCACTATTGCGGTGGGATAACTAACACAATTAATAAAACTACTTATCTTTAATTTTTTATCATTCTAATGGTCATAATGACATCATAAATGCGTTACTCATTTAAAAATGGAAATTCCAAAATTAGCAATTTAAAATGAAAACAACTAGGTTATTTCAAGTCTAAATCATAGCCAAATTTTAATTATGTATAATTAACTGAGGCGTTTGTAAGGTTCGCATACAGCAACGCAATATAAAATCTTGTTTGTAATTATTGTAGATCAGCATTTAATTGTTTTAGTTGTCTCAGCATTTAGCTGAATGAAACTCTAATAAAGAAGAGAAGTACGTATTTAGGGATACGCTTAATTGTATTTAAAACCCGGAATTTTATGTAAATTTCAAACCGGCAAGGTTCGTTTGCAAAAAATCAATTCCTACTGAGAAATTACACTAACGGGGCCATGACATTTATAAATTTTAAAAACAGTGTTTTTACGATATGAGTCCAATTATAGGGACAGAATTATCGGCACTATGTATAGTTATGATCGCAAAAACAATTTCACCTTGATATGGTTAATGCAGTTAAACAAATCGTTTTGATATAAGTCAACGTTATACAGAAAAATTTGGCAATTGATTATTATTATTAACAGATTGAAAAATTTTTAAGCATTCAATTAATTTCTCATGGCAAGTCCTTCTAAATTTGTATAGGACTGCAATTAAGAATTTTTAAATGTCAAGCTAATTCTATAAATCCTGCAATTTTTAGTTATAATTTTGAAATCCGTTTATCCAAATCCATAATGATTGACTGTTAACTTACGCATTTTGTAGTCTTTATAAAGAACGAATAGATGTAGAAGATGATGAGACCGAAGACAGTTTAACCTACACACCACACGACAACTACATATTCAGTCAAGAAAGATCTGGAGAATTAAATGACGATGACTACGTGACCATCATTCATCCCCTCATGATGGTAACTTACGCACATTACCTGAACAAGAATGAATATAACATTTTTTCAGGGAATGGTTAACCACATTGCTACCAAATCTCCACAGTTCTTGACGATTTTGGATGAAGCTCTTGTGAAATTATTCCAAAATGAATCTATCTACCTGACAGCTAAAGTCAAAGATATTCTTTTCGACGGTATGTTAATCAACTGCACTGCAAGAGATTTTTCGGCTATGGCTGTATGTACTCAGTTAAGAACAAAAATGCCTGGTGTTAAAGTTGATGGAAAGGGTTATCTACGTTATGGTCTTTTAAGTCAGGTAAAGCGAACATATTGGTAAGGCAAATAAAGACGATATTTTGTATAGAAAAATGGTACTATTTCCACAAGAATCAAAGTTCTTAGAGGAGTACGAGATTCAGCTGAGTTGGGGCAACTTGTAGCTGTGGATAACATGACTAGAACCGATATTTGGTCTAACGAAGTGTGTAATGAATTCCGTGGAACAGATGGGTGGATATTTCCACCACTCTCTGGTGACATGGAGCAAATATGGATGCATCCTGTCGATTTCTGCATGTATAGACTTTTCACAATTTCCTAACAGACATAATTATAGTTAAATTATCTATAATTTTAGGAACCTTCACGCTGATTTCGTTGAAGAGACCAGCAGTAACGGTATCTCCGTCCGAAAATTTTATTCAGACTTTGAAGATCAATGCGCTAATTGTTCTTTGCAAAAGCCATGTCTTCCTCGGGGTTTAGTTGATTTAACTGAATGCATCCACGTTCCTTTGTACATAAGTTTGCCACATTTTTTGAAAAGTGATGAAAGCCTTTTACGAAAAGTACATGGTTTAAACCCAGATACAGAAAAACACATTACTAGAGTTCTTCTGGAAGGAGTATGTGAGTGAATTTGCCTTCACTTCCGATTTCATTTTCTTTTTTAGACGCTATCTCTACCGATAGAAGCACAGATACGAGTTCAGTTTAATTTTCCTCTTCAGTCAGTGGGTAAAATACGCTTCATGCAAACCATGCCTGAAGTTATTCATCCAGTAATATGGGTGGAATTAGTAAGTGATCTTTCAAGTTTCATGTAGATATATGTCTTGTAATTTTTTTGTTCTAATTTTAGGGCGTCGTTCTGAACGGATCGTTTCTCAGAATGATACAAGCATTTTTCTATTTCTTAACATTTGTAGAAATTTTCAAATATACGATGTTGATCTTAAGTCTTTTGGGAATGGGATATGCCGCTTACCTATATTTAAATAACAAAAAAATGTACTCTATGAAAGACACAATTGTTCTTAGTTCGAAATAATTTTCATTTAAATTATTTTTACGAAAGTAGTTAATAAAAGTTGAAATAAAATATTAAGGATAATGAGCTTCTTAACCCCTACAACTTTCCTCACTGTCATTGTCATTATTCTAAGACTATTCAGAGAAGCAATTTTTAAATAATTGATATACAGGCCTGTTTGATTGTCACTGAATCATTACTAAATCAATTTTACCCCTACCACTACCACTCAAGTAGAAAATAGTTACCTGACGAATATTTGAAGATTATTTGGGAATTGTTAGTAACTTATTGTTAGTGTTAACGACATTTTATACATTTTATTATACTTTCAAATGCAGTCATACAATAAAATATTAGTTGTATCCTCGGTTTCTTTAGCGGTCATTCTTCTTTTTGGATTTGTGGGTTTCTCAGGAATATTGAAATTTGTAGTCAGAGATGTAAGTATAATAATTGCTTTACTTAGTTCATTGCTTTTATAATGTAATTTTTATTTTCTATACGTGGAACGAGTTACTTGTTTTTAATTGCTATTTCATTAGTATGACATTATTAGCAGCCATATGTGTTCTGAACGTATCAATTTGTTTGAAATTTGCACCGTAACTTCCTACTACTTAGAACTAATTTTGTTTTAATAATGGATTCGATTTGATCATCGAGTAGAAATAATCCAGAGGTATAATTTGTCAGTTCGATGTTACAAATATCATCCATGAAGTTTTCAAATTACTGTATAATTGTTATTTTTTTAACAAACATCAAATTATGGCGACAACTTATGACTTTAATCAAACTTTGTGCACGATCAATCTTTTGTCATAATGTGGATTTGGTTATAGAGTCGTGAACCTACGCGAACTTCCAGTTTTTGTCATGAGTTTTCCAATTTTTTAAAATTAATTTTCAGCAAAAATTGTTCCTCGTAAAATTTATCAGTTTGTAGTTTTATATTTATTGAAGATTAAAATTTTGAAGACATATTTTTATGAAACATGTTTCATTCAAAAAACCGTGGGTTGTCGTGTTGCAATTTTTCCAAAACTTGAAAGTGTTAACAGCGAATAAACGATTAATCCGAACATTTCGAATTCATCGTCACTTGGGAGTTGAAAATATTCGAAATCGTCAATAGTCCTTCGGGAGGTTAAAACCGAAGTTGACACTGAAAACTAATAAAATGTTAACAACTTTATAATCTACTAAAAAACGGAAACTAAGCAGAGAAATGTACAAATCAAGATTTCTTTTTTGCGTTGTGTTTGTGTTTTTAATTTAAATTTAATCCATTTGATTAATGTTAATTCAAAACTTTTATATAGGCTCATTTTGTTTGTCTTTATTTTAAAATTTGCTGCAATTTTTGCTCGATTTACATAAAATTAGTCTCATATAGTTGTTGCATCTAAGTCCTTTTACTATTGATGTTACTACATTTACTATAAATTGAAATCTATTTAAATATCAAATTATCAACACTGCTAAGTACCATTTTTTCTATCGTAATATTGTGTTAACAGCTATTAAATCATTATTTCGGACATTTGGACTCTCTTTCTTGTATTGTCACATTTATGTATTTATGCTCTTAATTTTGATGCAATAAAAAATAAATATACAAAGTGTAGCAAAGATTGTAGATGAAGAGCAGGAGTTTTGTGAAAAATATCACTATTGCCAACCACATATTTTATGTATTTGTACTTTACAGATCTTAAATTTGAAATTTGATTACCCACAGTATCATAATACTCTAATAACTACTATTTGTAAAAGTTAATATTAACCACAACCTGATGTATAATAGACACTAATTAAATTAACTAATTTTTGTTTTTTTTTTTTTTTAATATACATATAGAGTTTCCTTTCATCAACAGGATAGTTAACCATGTTTTCAATTTCTTGTTGGGAAAAGAAGACTTCGCATATTAAGAAAACATGGACAAAATATAAGCCCCGTCCACCCACCCCTTCTCAATTGTGGTGAATATTTTATTGATCGTGAGCTGAAGCTGAAGTTTAGTTGCAAAATCCTCATTTCTCTACAAGAAATTACCCTATGAAACTCATCACAATTAAGACTGGGGCGGGAGCTTAATCTTTGTTTTTTTTTCTTTATATACGTAGTTTTCTTTCAACAATTTTTTGGCGCAAAGAACAAAATAATAATATATACTTATATAAAAATAATAATTTTAAGAACTCTTGAAAATAGAGGTAATTTGAGGTCTTAAAAAGTCTCTAGGGTAACAAGTGTGGGTTTCTTGAACGGGTCTTTAAATGTATTATCTTAAATGCATATTGTAAATGCATGTGACGCCATAGCTTGAAAAAGGATGACGTCACAAATAGCTAAGGTAATTTAAAAACAGCGTAATTAGAACTACAAATAAAACTGTTTACCATTAGTTTTGAAATTACTGAATTTTTTCCGTAGGTAGTTTTCATACTGTATTTGAATTCACATTTCACTACCTTCAGCCAGTAACAAGGGAAGAATTTCATATTTCACGGTTACTTTGTGCTTATTTGCTAATAAGAAAAAACTTTTCCATAGTTACTATAGTTACTATAACAACGATTCATTATTTCCAATCACCTATGTCTACTCTAATTTAACAATCGATCAGAAGTGGTGCCGCCATGGTATTTGCTTATTTATTATGGTTGTACTTTATTTATAGTTTTCCATTTTAATGTTTCAGTTAATTTTTCATTGTTTGAAAATACAAATGTATTATATTCCTAATTATGACCATTATTCGCTCAGATGATTTGCTTCACTCTTCTACAGCTCGTTTCGCAAACGTCATCTTTGTGAATGATGGATATCACAATTACACATATAGTAGCTACTGTACTCCTTTTATAGATATTATTTTCTTTTAAAACTGCACAAATTGTATAATCTTATTACGTTTTCAGCAAACGGCTTTGAAAAAACGCAACCTAATGAGAAAATTCTACCTGAAAATTCCCATACCTCTCGATTTCAGAGTTTATTTCTTTAACATTACCAATCCAGAAGAGGTACAAAAAGGACAAACTCCAGTCGTCAAAGAGATAGGACCATACTGTTACGAGTAGGCTTACATTTCTATTGTGTACATTATGCTAATAAATTATTTATTTCAGTGCTTATAAAGAAAAAATCGACATTCTAGACAACGAAGGCGAGGACAGCTTAACGTACACCCCTTATGAAACATATTTTTTCAATCAGGAACGATCCGCAAACTTAACAAGCGATGATTACGTAACTATTCTTCATCCTCTAATTGTAGTAAGTAAATTAATTAGCTACAAACTTCAGGGATTAACTACTTAGTTTTACTCTTGCTTAGGGTATAGTGAATACTGTGGCCAAAGACTCGCCCCCGCTATTACCCATTGTAAACAAAGCCCTTAAATCAATGTTCAACGATCCCCAGAATATTTACCTTACTACCAAAGTTCGAGACCTTTTGTTTGACGGTATTATTATCAACTGCAGCTCACAGGATTTTTCAGCAGCAGCAGTCTGCACACAGATTAAGACTCAAGTTCCAGATTTAACTGAAGTTAGGAGGAACGTATTTAAATTTTCTCTTTTGGGTCCGGTATTATATTTATTACACAATTTTTATTCGTTTCACCATGGTAGACGCTTTTAGAGAAATGGTACTTTGCCAAATCGGTTTAAAATTCTCAGAGGTATAAAAAAATCTCACGAGCTGGGTCGTTTAGTTGAACTCAATCACGAAAAAGAATCGAATATCTGGTCTACGAAAAAATGTAACAGATTCGTAGGAACAGACGGATGGATTTTCCCACCTTTTGTCGACAAAAACGCGGGAATATGGGCCTTCACAACGGACTTGTGCAGAAGTATTCACACCGTTTATACTGAAGACGCCACAGTTCATGGGGTCCACGTAGAAAAGTATTACGGTGATTTAGGAGACATGTCCACAAACCCAGCAGAAAAATGTTATTGTCCTACTCCACGGACATGTTTACCAAAAGGAATAATGGATCTAACCCGATGTATGGGAGTTCCCATTTACGTTACTCTTCCACATTTTCTTCGAGTAGATGAGGCTGTGCAAAATACAGTTAAAGGGTTAAATCCCGTTACTGATGAACATATTGTCAGAATTCTAATACAACCAGTAAGAATTTTCTCATTTTGGAGAATTTTATATATTTAATTTTATTTGCAGTTGTTGGCGGTGCCCCTAGAAGCCCAGAAACGTATCCAATTTAATTTACAAATTCAACCAGTTAAGAAAATTAATTTTATGAAGACCTTACCCACCGCGCTTCATCCCCTTCTTTGGGTGGAAGAAGGAATTATACTGGAAGGATCGCTTCTAAAAATGATACAATCCGTATTCATAGCTCTAAAAGTATTTAATGTTGTCAAGTTTTGCTTGTTGGGTATTTCTCTTGTTGGAGTGGGTTATGGCGGTTTTCTACACTACAAAGAAAGGAATTTGGGAAAAGTGACGCCAGAGGACAATGTGTCATCGGCTACGAGTAAAAGCACTGATCAGTTATTTAAATCTGAGGCAAGCAGTGCCAGCATTATGAATAAAAGTAACTCTAGTACCCACAATAACACACACAAAATTTAAAATATTATACAACTGCTTTTTTGGCACTGGTGCACATACCAAAGTTTCGCATCTTTTCAATTTTGTCCAATTTTGACCTTTTAATAGACTGTACCGAGACATAAATTAAAACTGAAATTTTTAGTATGTCAAAAACTGTTATCATATTAAACACAATTTGTTCTAGGTATACATACATAAGTTTTCTGTGATACACATGTACAATCATGCTCACATAAATCTGAATTTGTATCCATGTTATTGATTTTGACACACGTGAGGTTGTACGAGATTTATGTGAACATGACTACATACAAATGTATGTTTGAATTTTTACTAAGAGAAATGTGAAGAAGGATTCTGAATAAAGATATTTTGTATAACCGATGGTAACAATTTTTATTTTCGTTAATTATAAATCGTTTTTTTTTCCAGTCGGGTACAGGCAATTATTGAATTAAATTAACATTCATCTAAGCATAACTATCTATAGTAATGGTATTAGTTTTAAGTTTTGTTTTATAATAACGTTATATTGCTACATAATAATCAAATTTTATAATTATAAATCTTGTAAGCGTTAAATAATTTTAGTAAATGGTACATCATGCAATGTAACATTCTACTGAAAATTTAATTTTGTATAACAATATATTCCAAAATAGCTACAAGTATTCCAAACGTGGTGCAGACTATAATTCTTCTTCTACGATCTTAACATTAGTTCAATTATGAGTTATGTGCATATTTAGCTGAGGTAAATTATTCCTTCAACAATATTTGAAAATTTGTAGTTTTTTAATAAACACAAATTTGAACAATAAAATTAAAATATTAAGAAAAAACGAACATTACAGTATTAGTTTAAATCTAATCTAATTTTTTATCGTCCTTTCTACTTCCCGAGCGTAAGCTAAGGAAGTACAATGAAAACGTTCCTTTTGTACACAAGAAAATTTTATGATGGTTTAAGTCAGTTAACTTCAGAGCGGTTCATAGCCACCACAAATTGCAATTTTATAACTGGAGAAGTAGCAGACCAGTAATCCGAGAGGTTCTTAGCTACCCTTCTTCTGGTTGAATAAAAGCGGCGCATGCCAAGGCCGTGGGACCCTCAGTGGGGTGGGACCCTCGTAATGACATTGTAAAATTTTATTGTGTACCAACCGAACGTTTTTAGTATCGAGTAAATAAGTTCACAGGACGAATTGCCACTTTCATATTTTCTTGACGTTTTATGACCCCTAGAATATGAAAAAACTGATCTCCCGTTTCCGTCTGTATGTCTGTCTGTTTGTCTGTCTGTCTGGTGTCTGCATCCATTTTTATTAGACAAGTAATCTCCGGAATTACTGCATCGGTTGTCGCAAAATTTTGTTTGTATATTAGAAATATCATATAGATCGTTAAATGCCAACGGATGTTCACTTCCAGTACGGAATTTTTTTGTTTTTTAGACTATCCTGCTATTTATTAACTATACTTTTTGTTGAAAAAAACTAGTTTTAAATTATTATCAGCACTACATATGTTATTTGAAATCAAAATTTTTTCCAAGCGTACGTCATGTAATAAATTTTTGTGTGTTAATTTTACTCTTATTATTTTGTGTTAAGTCTTGGAATAAAAATAATAATAATTATAATAAGTTTATTTGCCCCACAGAAACAAGTTCCAATTACCTATATTATTATATTTATTTATGTATTTTTGTCCTAACAAAAATACATAAATAAATAAATATACATTCTAATACTAATTCTAATACAGATGACAAATTATACTAGAATAAAGTTAGAATTCTATGAAGCAATAAAAGGCAAAAATTAAGAAGCAATCAATAACCTAACCACTCTTACCAGACAATCATAACTAACTAACTAACAGTAATACTCACTCCAACTAAGAAAATCGCTCACTAATACAAAGTTTAAATTGATTTAGTCTACAAAAAAATAAATCACAATCGCAATACCTTTCCAAAATATTTCAATAAAGATGTATTACATATATAGGGGCGCTTTCCTACCTATGTTCGTGCGAGGAGATTTACTATATAAGGAAGTAGTGTATCTGTTATTTATTCTAGGTACATGAAAATTGACAAGAGCAAGCATGTCAATATTATCAATTATGTTATGTATAATTTTGTAAATAAATATTAGTGCATTAGCCACACGTCTGGAATGTAGGGTACTAAATTTGTATCTTTTCAATAACTCAAAATGAGAATAGTTTCTGTAAGGCCATCTTCCTTCTTCTTTAAAGTAATTTTAAAAATCTCTGCTGTACATTTTCAATTTGATGCGTCTGGTTATAATAATAAGGAAACCATGCCAGGGAGCAATACTCTAACCTAGATCTCACAAGCGCGTTATAGAGTACCGTTAAAGTAAAAATGTTATTAAAATCCTTGCAGTTCCTAAGCATAAATCCTAAAATTTTTCCCGCACTCAACACGATATTATTCACATGTACTCTAAAACTGTACTCGGAATCATAGTACACACCAAGATCCTTTACAGACCGTAGTCTTCCAAGTGGATAGTTCTCAACATAGTAAATATATTGACAGAGATTTTGACATAAAGAGTACGTAACCACTTTACATTTTTTATGGTTTAAAAGTAAACAATTTGCTATACACCATTGTTGGATATTCTCCAGGCCCATCTGCAATAAGAGGCAATCGTCCGGACTTTCTATTTTCCTAAAGATCTTAATGTCATCCGCGTGCATTAAAATATGTGCGTTTTTAATAACTTCCACAACGTCATTGATATAAATTATGAAGAGCAAGGGCCCCATTACAGACCCTTGTGGTACACCCGACGTAGAAATATAAGAGTTAGATATAAAGCCATTACACATAACCAAATTTAGACGAGAAGACAAGTAGGAAGCAATTAGTTTAATTAATAATTCCGAGAAACCGATGGATGATAAGTTAAAGAGTAATAATTGATGATCAATTGTATAAAAAACTTGACTTAGGTCAGTGTATATAACATCAAGTTGACCCCTATTGTCTAAAGTATCAGCTATAAATTGAGACATGGACGTCAGATTAGTAGAAGTCGATCTACCTGAAACAAAGCCATGCTGACAATTCGAAATGCACCCTCTAATACTAAAAGATATTTGATTATACAAAATGGTTTCAAAAATCTTAGAAAAATTGCATAAAATAGGTATAGGTCGATAGTTTCTCACATCAGAAATATCGCCATCCTTAAACACCGGTGTAATTTTGTCAATTTTCCATAATTTAAGAATATACGGATGCTTCAGACTAAGATTGAATATGTAACCTAATGGCTTAAGAAATATATTTGAACAGCCTTTAATTAAAAAGCCTGGTATTTGATCAACACCAGATACATGGTTATTTTTAACTTTACTGATGGCCTTTATAATATCATCATCATTGATTCGAACATTGATACATTGGTTGCTGCACCCTTCAAAGGAGTTTAACGAATTAGTTTGCTGATTAGTCGATGACGAATTAAATGAGGAGGAAAAGTAACGGGCAAAAGCATTTACTACGTCAACCGGACCGTCATATGAACTACCATTTAGCTGTACTTTTTTAGGAATAGACGAGCGGCCCCGTTTTTCCTTAATAAATAACAAAAACTACTTTGGATCTTGTAATAATGAGTTTTCAAGGTTCCGAATATAATCATCAAAATCTCTGTGAATAAGTGTTTTTACTATACGCCGTAGAGAAGTGAATTCATTATGTAGTTGAACAGAATATTTACGTTTACATTTCCGAAGAACTCTGTATTTCTCCTTTATCATACTTCTAAGCTCTATGGAGTACACCATAACTATATTTTTTACATTTAAAAATGGGAACATGTTTGTCCAAAATTGTATACAACGTTCTATAAAAAAAATCGCATGCTTCATCGACGTCAGTAATTTGATATAGAAAATGCCAGTCTGAATTCAGTATATCTTCATACAACATAATAAAACTGGCTTTCCTAAAATTGTAGATTTTGGTAGTTGTACATATGGGGCAGTTAACATAAGAGGTATTTTTCACTCCAAGATTAATGTGCAGTGCTGGATGATATTTATCTTCGATTACTATGAGGCATGAGTCGTGAGTAACAATGCAGCTCTTTAGTGAACAAAAAATTAAATCTAGAAAACGACCATCAGAGTTAGGGACGGAATTAACTTGCGTTAAGTTCAGTGGTGACATCATATTCTTTATTGAAAGAGTTTTCGCATCATTAGCGTTAGTAAAGAAATTGGGCACTTTGAAGTCTACAATTAAGAGTAAATTGGGATACTGTAAAGCGTAATTTTCAAGACATTCCACGAAATATTCAAAGTCTGTTTCGGGTATATCCGGAGGTACATACATGGTCAGAATATATATACTCTGAGAATGACAATTAATTTTACAAGCCACCACATCTACTGAAGATGGAAATTTGGGTTTAGACAATTCTATGCGTACTACTTTAAATTTATTATGAACCGCAAGCAGCAGACCACCTCCACGTTTGCGTCTTGTTGCAATAAAATCCCGATCGGCCCTGAAGACATGAAATTCTTTAGGGATAAGTTCCGAGTTAGAGGTAGAGGAATCTAACCATGTTTCCGACAAACAAATAATATCACGTTCACAATCAGACAACCCAGCATAAACACTGTTAACCACAAATCTCACATTCCTTACACTTTGATAATATATATCTATCTCATTGACATTGTTATTTTGATAGTCAAAAAAGAGACTGCGTTGATTATGGATAGAAGTATTTAAGGTGTTATTATTGAAAGAAGAAGAATTGACAACAGATTGAAGAGGAGAAACTTGTGACAATGATTGCTATATAGTGGAACCAAAAAGGTCATGTTTGATTTTATCCATCGTCTTCTTGCAACGCATACAGGATTTATATCGCAAACCGCATGATCAGTGCTGATATCAAGGTTAACAATTTCATCATATTTTAACGTTTTCATGTAGTTAACACAGTTGCTACATTTGAGATCATCAGTCTTACACTCAGCAACATTGTGTTCACCAGCACATTTAGGACAACAAGTTTTATTTTTGCACCCTCTTGATGAGTATCCGTACTTGTTACAATTGAAACATCTTGTAACTTCAACCAAATCTTATATAGTACAGTCATCAAGGCCAATTAGACAATGGCCTACATTCAAAGCCCTTTTATAGGTAGGCAGATCAACTTCAAATAGAGCCTGATAGATTTTATTTTTTTTTTCCTTGCATTAAGTTTAAGCAATTTAATATCCGAATCTTCACTAAAAATTATTTCATTTTGTTTTCTTAAGTGTGTTACGTTACAGTATTATCTTCTTCTATATCATCGGAAAATCCAACTATTCTAATGCTTGGTCGTATTCTTAACTTCTCTTATTTCATATTGTTCAGAAAATTTCCCCTTTGCAATTTGCTTGAACGTTTTAGTATTTTCACAGCCGACTAACAATGCACCACCCTTAAGTGTTTTTACCTTGCCGATACTCAACGGTGAATTAAGAGGATCAACTGCATTTAGCACATCTGACTTGGTTTTCGAAACCGATTGAGTTCTATCTTTTGGTTGTACAATGACTGTTTCTTGCGAGTCTTTCACCATGGTTTCAGCAATTACGACGTTTTTGCAGTCAATTCATTACTATTAAGTTCGACGAATGTTTTAGGCTCAGAAGATTTATCGGATTTTAAATTTGAGCCAATCTTTTGAATTTCCAGCCATAAAGCAATATTCTCGGTGGTTAAGTTTTGAATTTCACTACGAAGTTCCGTTATTTAGTTTGACAGTGTGTTAACTTGTTCTCTAATAGCTGAATTGATCAATGCTGTGAGTTGGTCAACAGAAATATAAATATTTAAGATAGGATTCTGAAGAGTGGCAGTATTTTTACTAGTATTAGCGATATTTACATCCGAAAATTTGAGAGAACAGAAGCCACAGGTCTAAGTCTCAATTTTTATTAGAATCTTTTAACTTATCAAAAGCATCATCAGTAACACCAGTACAAATTAGATGATAGTGAGATTTGCATGTGTTGGCACATGTATTGTAGTTTTCAGTAGGCGTATTAATTGAACGATTGCATTTCCCACATTTAGGTGCCATAATAAGAATTAAATTACAGAATAGGAATTGATAACTACGATAAAAGACAGTTGCTGCCAAACAGCCACACGGTTCACGGCAGCTCCGCGTTGACGCTGACCTCCGTATAGGGAATGGTGCGAGCAAAAGAAACAACTAACTTAAAAAGAATCAAAGTGATACTAATAAGATAACGATATCCCATTAACAATGGATAACTCAACGAATAATGAGAAAAGTAAAAAAAAAATAATAATTACAGTAGAAAACCTCTGTTTCAGACACCAAGAGCCACCACACACCGTAACACACCGCACGTCAAATCTCACATCCCTAATATAATAATAATATTTTATGCAATTATAAGTTTCTTTATTAGCTTGAAACAAATTTTGGTTGTCGTTATTAGCTCAACATCATATAGGCAACACATAATGCTACATTAGCCTAATTTACAATAGCAAAGATTGTTAGAAAATGAGTCAATAATAGTAAAATAAGAGTTGTATGCCTTTTCATTGAATACGGCTCTACTTTTGCGAGAAAATGATTTTTTAATTTTTATTTGTAATCGTTTCAACTATTTCTCACAGTCGTTAATACTTGAAGACAATTTACTCAAAAACAAATTTTTCTAACTTGTTTTAATATTTTTCACAACCTGGAATTGCTATTATTACGATTTTTGTGCATCACGTTTTTAGAATGACTCAAATAACAAAGAGTGATTTATATGTATTAACATAAATTTTTGCGAAAGCTACTCTTTTAGCATTCAAAATGTTGAGTAATAGTTTCAGCAATTGCATAAGTAGAATAATTAGAAGACAAAGATTAATCTGAGATAAAACATTTTATAACTGGAAGTTCGGAATTAATTTCAAATTTTAATATCATCGAAGTAATTTAGCAAAGTTGTGAAGGTACAATTTTACCAAACCTGTGCTAAAGAATTCTGTTAAACCTACAGGTTTAAAAAATCGTAAGGTTTTTTTAGTATTCAACTTCAAAAGCTTGAGGTTCATTTTTAAATATTTTAATTCTTTTGCACTTTGAGATTCTGAGAAGTGTGCAGATTTGATACTTAATCTTTCTGAAAGTGGAAGGTTCTTTCGTTTAAAAGTAAACACCAAAATCATAAGTTTTTAATGAAACAATTTGTATTTACAGCTTTAGATTCGTTATACTTAAATGAAATATATATTTGATATAAGACTTTTTTATCAACAGATTGCTGACAATAGAACAGGATTCGAACTTACTTATACAGAATTAACAAATTGGCAGCTTATTCATGATTTTGAAGTAGGACATCTTATTTTTTCCAAAATAGTCCAAGCTGTTTCGAAGTAAGCTTGCTGTCGATAGCGATTTTGTCGTGATTTGTTCTAGCAATAATATTGTCATGGCAACAAATATTTTATAATTCTTAGTTGCGAAATCATGACCCCTCTATTTCTCACGGTGGTAGTTGGATACGGGGGGCAATATCGTGCTAGAACGAAGACAAATGGGGAAAATTGCTGTTCTAGCAGGAGATGGTTTTCCACTTCAAGGAGAACCCGAAACGAGGATTGAGTGGATGACCATTATCGCAACAACCAGACCTCGGAGCCTGGTAAGCACCATTATAATTAATAAATCTAGTTTAAATTTTTTTCTGGGAGTTTAGAAAATTGGGAACCCCAAGAAATCTGATATCTGGTCGTAGCAAAAAAAAATGCATAAAGATGAGCTTAAAGATCAGAAGTTGTCCTACTAGAAATATCTTGATAAACTTATAAAAAATTGAAGAATTGAACTTATTTTCATTTGTATAAAGAATTTTGATTTGAAAATTATATTTTTGAAATCATTGTTAGGGTAAACCCCTCGAAACCTGATAACTGTCGAAAAAAAACTTACCTAGCATCAAGTTCGAAAATGTTACGAAGTACATGTGTCCCATCTGATAAACATGAGAGAACTGAGAGTTTGAATACGTACAGACGTGATTAAAAAGTCTGAAACTTTTATTTTTAAATGTGACACAACTGAGAATATTTTTAAATATCACAATTTTTTTACAAAAAATGTAAATTTGTTGAAAACTGTTGACTAAGAAACGTTTGTGACAGAAATCACTTTTTTAATTTTGTTTTACAGAAATCCAAAGTTGCAAAAGCCAATGGTCTGTTACATGCTAGAAATGCAACTTCGATGTATAAATTTTAAAGAAAAGGTGTGTATACTTATTTGAATACAATTATAACTTCTCTACTAACTAATATATACACAAATTATAACTGCGAAAAATAATATTTATCAGGAGTGCATAAGCTTCTGTCGCCAAACCGTTGAGACACACTGTATATTGTTTAAAGTGTGCCAAGTACAAACTAAATAAATTAACATACAGAAGTATAACAAAACGAATATCGTCAGACTCACAGTAAGTAACACTTCTATTTTTACAGAAAATACACAACATTTAGATACATATTTACACACGTTTCTCCAGCATTTAGTCTATTTTGATATTTTTCCTAAATAAGTTAAAACTCAAACTACCTGACAACACACTGAACAGTACCTTGAAAGCAATTTTCATCAAGTACCAAAACAGATATGTACAACAAAACATAACAAACGCTACATCTAATAAATAATATTGAATAACCCCCATATTTTTAGCTGGGGACTGCAAATGTTTGGCACCGTTGTGCCTCAGGACATATTCTGTCCAGTAAACCGCTCTTTCCAGCGGAGTCTCCTTCTGGTCCCTCAACAGGAACTGCCTTCTCTTGACATCTTCCCTATATTTAGGGTCATGTATGACCTTTTTAATAGCCCATGTTAACGACTCTGTCGTAATCGTCGACAAGTCCAGTTTCAAGGCGTATCCGTCAATTTCTGCCTTAGCGGCGTTGGAGTCGTGATCACAAAACACCGGCAGAGAAACAACAGGTACTCCATGGTACACAGTCTCGAACATGCTTAATAATCCTCCATGAGTAACGAATGCTCGAATTTTCGGATGACCTGAAAATAATGATTTATTACTTTCGCTGCTTCTTATCTCTAAGAAAATAAGTAGAAAGTAGATAAACAAAAGTCTTTTTATGGAGAAAGTATCGAGTGCTGTAAACAGTGTTGTAACTGTTACCTAAAATATCTTGTTGAGGTAACCATCGTCCAAGTTTCACATTCGCGGGAAGATCCGGCATGTCTTCGTCGGCTTCGTATTTCCACAACACTCGTTGAGGAAGCTGGCGGAAGACTCGCATGAGCATTCTTCTTAGGTACTCGGGCATGTTCGCTGCTTTGACAGAGGAACCCATGCTGAAATAGATGAAGCCTGCGTCGCCACTGCCTTTTATAAATTCTTCTAAATCCTAAAATTGATCAAATGAGTATCGTTGTGACTATAATTTAGGAGTATGTAACAAAATTTGTAAAATGGTGTTTATCGAAAAAATACTAATAGGAGGGTTTCATTAATTTTACAAGTTAATAACTAAGTTATTTACTGGATGGGAGAATATACAGTTTTCTAAATAGGAGATTTACCTATAAGACGGTTTAAATCAAACAAATATTGTTACAGAGTTGGTATTTCTTAATTTATATTGATACAAGAATATGCATAATAACTGTTAATATGCAAACTCTCCTAATTCGTGGCACAAAATTTACATGATGATTAGTTTTCTATAGAAATAACAAAAAACTTCCCTAGTACAGACTAGAGAGTATTCTAACAGGGTCACCTTAACGAATATTTAAATACAAATTTTGTTCGACGTTACACAGTTTGTAGTGTACTAAATACATAATTTCCAACGCTACTAAACCGATTATTATGAAATTGTTGGTGTACTTTAAAGGTACTGGGAACGTTAACCAAAATTTATGTCTTCATTCCCACAAAAATTTGATGACGTAATTTTTAAAATTCATAACATGTTGTTAAATCATTTTATGTTTAGAAGTTTTGCGTTGATTAGAAACACCTCATCTAATTTTCCCCAAATTCAGGAGTACATTAAATATGGTTAGATGAACCGCAAGCTAGGATAAATTTGTTAGTAGATACATACAAAAGTCTATTTAGTTCTAGCAGTCCATTCTGGAAGCACGGATATTACAGTGATTGTAGCAATTTATGTGACAATTAGCATAACAGATTCGCAATAAAACAAACTTCAAGCTTCACACAAATTATATTTTCTACAAGCTAAGAAAACTTAGTTATTCATTGAGGAAACCTGAACTGTTGACTTTACAAGTTAAAAGTTTATTGATTCTTTTACATCGACACTTTATTGCCCTGACTCTCTATTTGGATTCTACTCGAGTAATTTATTTGTTTTTCCTTTTTTTTTATGAAAGTTCAAATTTGAATGCTGACTTTGTTATGCTATATTGAGAATGTAAAGTTGTTCTGTTATTGAATTTCCGTTGGAAAATAAAGTTAAAGTTAAAATTAAATTTTAAGTATCTCAAGCCAGTGCTGATAGAGGACGCACTTATGTTGTAAATTGAAGTCGCTACATTTTTGAGCTTCAGTTCGGGGATCAGATGTTTTAACATGGAATTTGTTTGTCTCTTGCAGTCAGAAATTAAATTGTTTACAGAAATTTGTTATTAAAAATCAAGAAGTTAACCCTTAGATGAAAATAATATTCATGGTAACATGATTAAATTATTTTCATATAATAGCTTTTATGCGTCGATTTTGTTTGATGTCGACTTAGTCCTTATATTTTCCATTCTTACTGACTCCGTTTTGAACACAGCAGTTGTATAGTGCACCCAAAAGACTTTCTGGTTAACTTTACCAAATTCCAATTGTTTTGTCATTACGTAAAACATTAAACACAAATAACAGGTACACCTATGTGTTTTGTTTCGTTCGCCATACATTCAACAGCAGCTAAATATTAATCTTTAACATTATATTTCGAAATGTTATAATTAATACAAATCAAAATAATGTGTAATAATTAATTGTTATAATAATTAAACGGTCAAAAATGAAATAATAATTAAATTTTAATGAACGAATTTTGCTTAACAGATTATTATTTTAACTAATTCTACTTAGTTAATTAACCATTTTTTTTTGGTTTGAAATAGGAGTAATTAATTAAATAGTTGAATTTATAATTAAAGTAATTTTAGAAAAAAATCTAGGCAGGTTTCCGTACATTTGTAATTATCATATTTAACCCAATTTAATGGCCTACTTTTAAATAATTAAACTGTTTCTAAACATAAACCAATTTTATATACTATTTTTGTAAACAAACTTAACTGAGGTGTGCAACATGCAGGCTTTTCTAACTTGGAGAACAAAGAAAAATTTCTTATTTTCTTTTGTATTTTTTGTTGCATCTGAGTTTTGCCAAAATTCATGTGATGTTCCAAGAAAACTGCTAATCCATTATGTATTTAAACAGCTCGACGTTACATTTTCATTCATTTACAATTCAGCCCTATTCACAAAAAAAACTTTGTGTGTATTTTCTACCATCCAATGGCTTTTTTTTGACATATGGAACTCCAATAAGAATTTACAATTTTTGTAGTTTTAGGTGCTAGCCGATACAAAAGACACAAGACCTTTTGTATTATTTTTTAGATCCCGAGCATATGAAAGTATTGTAATCGAGTCCATGGGGCTGTTATGATATTTTCTCGATGGGTCATGACCCCTAGAGTACGAAAAAATGGGTTTCCCGTTTCCGTCCGTCTGTCTATCTCTCTGTCTGTCTGTCCGCCGTCCGTGACGAATTTTGTTAAACAGATAATCTCCGAATCCACTGGCAAATGTGTATAGTGATATCTCTCTCACTAAAATGTACTTTCACATCCATGTTGTCAAATCTTATATGTGTAAATGGTAAAACGCTAACCATACTTTGTCTGTGATAACGTCACCTACACGTGTACTTTATGAATCCGTTTTGAGTTTCACCCGAAACGTCCAGATTTTTTCGAAAAGAACTGAAAATTATATAACATTTTGCAATAAGTTGATATACCTGTTCTTGCAAAAAAGTTGATGACGTTATCAGAAATTGTAAATTAAAAACTCATTTCAATTTGTTTTTCAATTTTAATCATAGAGTAATTGTAAAATAAAATGACACACCCTCTGTCATAACAGATAATATTATAACAGTATGACTCAATCGGTGCAATTTCCTACTTCAGTTGACCTGGATTATCTTCAAAGTATAAAATGTCTAATAACCTACGTAAAATAAAAATTAAGAAAATAAGATTAGCAAATATTCTTCTTGAGCATAAGCTCAGGAAAATACAGTAATCGAGTCCATAGGGCGACTTGCCACTTTCATGTTTCCTTAATGTTTCATGACCCCAAAAGTACGAAAAAAAGTGGTCTCCCGTTTCCGCCGGTCTGTTCTGTGTCGATTTTTATTAGACAGACAATCTCTAAAACTACGAGACCGATTATTGTCAAATGTTGTATGTGTATATTAGGAACATCATGTACATGGTAATACTCTAACCAAAAATTTGTATATATATATAACTATAATGTTTTTTTAATTTTGTAAAATAAGATATTCCTACAGTATGATTTCGTGTTGAATTTTTATCCTAGTCATCCAGATTTTTGGAAAAAAAATCAAAATTTTATAATATCTTGCAATTTAACTTTGAAACTGCACTTCCAAATGCTCTAAAATCTTGCAAATGTTTTAAGATTAGCGTTATCATGGTAAATCGTTAATCAAAATTTATTCGTTCATCCACTTCCAAAAAATTGAAGACGTCATCTAATGCCGAATAAATCCTGTCTGATATATGCAAAATATTATTTTTGACTCATCACAAAATTTTCTAGTGGAAAAACTCACTTCAAAAAATGCGTACCACGCTTCTTTATTTTTATTTTAACTTACAAGGATTATCATCAAAAAATTAATTTCGCAAAATCAAATGTTGTAACTTATCGAAAAAGCTGGATTTGTTGTACTAAACCTCATGGGCGAGGGAAGTTCTGTTGAAATAACGTTCGACCAATATTTCTAACCTAACTTAATATACAAGGTGAATTACTAAGCTCTCAGTTCTCAATTAATTATTAGATATAGAGAAAAACGTTATAGAATAAAATTGTACAGTTCTTTGAGTAGCATATGTACATTAAAATTATTTCCGTCTATACAGAGTGTTTTGTTTTTGAGGAATACCACACAACTTTTTATTAGCAGAACAGCGTATACCTATATACTTTTACATATTCTCATTAGCCTCTTCCTAGGCTTTATAACTATAGTTTATTATTGAAATTCTGATATAGCGTTGCCACATTATTTCAATTGTCTTCAATTTTTTTAGCAATACAAGTTTTCACGACCTACTTAAGTATAAAATCCTTGTTGCAATATTTTAGGAGAGAAACAGTAGTACGAGTTTTAGTGGTCTTCATTAAATAAAATTTTCATATACAGGGTTTTTATTAAAAAAAATTCGAAAGGGTTACAATTTTCAAATATCAATATTTTAGTTTTTTCAAATAAAATAGCCTGCAGTTTACTCTACTCTTTTGTTATTTTTCTTTCAATATGTCGGTGTGTCTCTTGAAATATAAAAAATCGCAGTAACTATATTAATTATGAACATGGAAAATATTTAACAAAAAAGAAAAAGACTGAAAACAAAATAAGATGCAGTAATAAGGGTGTTTTATTTAAAAACTGAAATATTGATATTTGTACATGGTAATAATTTAAAAAAGATTGTATAAACACTCTACAAGACTCAATTTTTAATATACTACAACGCGTACCTTTATTTTTCTTTTTACAAAGTGTAACACAGATTTCATAAATTACCCAATTGCGATTTTTTATAACATGGTAATGTCGTCTCGGAACTTCAAAAATAAACGTAATTTTGAAGTCAAGAAGAGGTCAAGGAGAATAGGGAAAAATATATAGGGTATTCCATTCGTAAAAACTAAACTGTGTTACGGCTTAAAAATAAAACACTCTGTATATCTGAAAATAATTTGAGTGTATAGTTTCCAAAGAACTGTAGGTACAACTTAAGTCTTTAACACAAAAATTTGGAAAAATACCTAAATTTTATGGTCGTTCATTCACTAAGTGTGTTTTTCTCGCCATTAGCTTCCACTATCTCATTTTTTATAGTGTTTAAAATCAAGCATAGAATAAAACACTTAAGGAAACGTATTTAATTAGTTAAAATGAAGAAATTTCGTAAATGAAAAATAAATTACTTAGTGGAAGCTTGAAATATCGTTAGTCATCTCTAAGTACTATAAATATACAACTACTAGGTGCACCGAATGTGGATGGAAAAAGATCTTCAATAAAAAAGAACTAGCAGAAAAAACTATAACGAAGAGCTGGGAAGCAAACAACACTACCAAAAGAACTTATTAAAAATAACACGAGACAAGTATACTTTTACCAAACGCAACGACCTCAAATTTAGGATCACAACCCAAATTTGCTTCATGAAGCCTAAAATTTATAAATTACTTTTCTTTCACAACACAGCATTATCTAGTCCGAGTAATTTCAACATTGCATGACAAGACCCGGCTATCGAATTAAATATGTATCATTTTTTGCAAAATTTCGTCATGGTACCGCTGATTTTAAACCAATCTTATGTTATAGACGCTACTTACATCAGGTAATGCCTTGGCTCTTTTGCAGTGAATACACGCAATCTCTGCCACATTGGGTAAATACGGCCTTGGGTAGCTAACTGTGGCATGTGCATTCTGCAGAATGAAACTAACGTTTCTGGAAATATCATACACCAGAGGAACGTCTGGACCAAAATGTTTCCTCACGACTGTCTGTATCATAGTCCTCACCATAAAAGAGTGTAAAGCGTTGGCCACCATATGCCACAACGTGTTTATTGTTCTTTGTAGCAGGTTCATCGAATCAGTAAAAGGTCTTGCAAGAAACGGTGTCACGGAATAAGGAGACGGATTACCGGCTAATGAAAGCGAGCCTGTGTAAAATCCAACTGTGTTTATGTACATGAAAGGCACATTGTAATAATTGACGAATCCTAATCCGCATTCCGGGTACGCTCCATCAAGAATCAACATGTCGAAGCTTTGTTGGGGATACAACAAGTCTTTCGTTTCGGGATCTGAAAGAAGTACATCACAAGCCTGAAAATTGAGACATGCACACATACTGCTCAATGGGGAAGTGTCTATGCTTTTGTCGGACGGTTCCATACTGAGTAACTTATTAGTTCGTTAAAAACTCTGTAATAAACATGACTTAGTAACTGAATTTATCTTTTATAGAAAGTTAATGGCGTCATCGCAAAAAATTATTGAATAAAGGTTTGTTAAAAAATGTGTTCCGACATGCAACGTTGTTTACGATTTAGAACATATTTTTGTCTGTTAGTTTTGCTTAAATAGGGTATTTAATTCAGAAAACTATCAATTAATTTTGTTAATTAAATCAAAACTGACTGATCTTAACATCCAAAATTCTGGCATAGTGTAGTGTAACTGTAGGCTCAAGAGGGAGACAAATTCTGCGTAAATAACTTAATATCTTAATAACTTTAAATCTATCAAAAAATTTGCGAATGCTGAAAGCTATTTTACTAATAAATCACTATCTTACTTAAACCAACTTACTGCAATTTTTCACTGCTTTTTATCTGTGATAATAATCCACTCTTATTTTTAAAAATCGTTTATTTACGATGTCAGAAATTTAAGTGTAAAAATCGCCAAAAGACTTGAGTTTATCAACTTCCAAAACGGCTTACATCTCCTTTTTTTTTTAAATCATGGTTTATATGTTGAAAGAGTTTGTAAAACTGAGCATAATTATACCACTTTTATATCTTGCAAAATTTCTACGTTATTCGTGCTATTTAGAAAAGTGTTGTTACTAAAACACTGCTCGTGTGAAAGTCTATCTAAAATGTTTCAGCAATTTTGTCAACTTTCAATCTTTCAAAATATAGTTTGTAATCTATTTTTTGTTGATTATTATAACATTTAGTTGTTGAAATTTTACACGACTAGGTTTAATAGCTTAAATATTTTTTAGATAGGGCGTGTTGAAAAATAATCCAAATTTTGAGATATTTTAAAACCATACTCCCAGTAATTTTCAAATTTATTTTTCTATTTGAGGGGTCTATTATAGCAGTGTTTTCTTCGCAAAATTATACTGAAGCGTTTATCAACACTGTTTTATCAGTTGGTACTACTCTCGGTCATTAATTGTTTATGCCCGGTAGTACAGATTCCCATCAGTCAACAATACAACAAATAATTACTAGATTAATAAACAAAAAACCTTAATTATTAAATGAACAGTAGCAATTTGTAATAATTCGAAGTGTCTACTGCATTTCTTCGTCAGTTATTTTCGTCAAAACACTCGACTAAGAACAACAACATCCCAATAAACCATTTTATTTGCTTTTAAAGTTTAAAATTTCACAATTCGAAGTTTTCGCGTGTTGATTTCGTGATCTAAGCAACCTCATTGCCACTAACTATGCTAGGCATACTGAAAAAAAACACTAGCTAATATCTTTCTGGATATTTAAAAATTAAAAAAAAAATAAAACACATCAATAGAAACTTATACTTACTTATATATATTTTTTTTAATATATACACTATTCTAAAATGCAGCCAATATCAAAACAAAAAATTTAGTGCTAGTAAGTTTAGGTTAGATATATACCATATGAACGAAAAAAAATTCTTCTAGTAGGTCGTGCAGTATATTTTTAATACAATGATGGTAATACCAACCCGTTCCTTGTTCAGTTTCACAGTTAGTCAAATTGCTGTCAAATAACGGGTCAATGTGAACATCAATAATTTTAAAATAGTTTGTACGGGCAACTAGGTTTTTTTCATGATATGGTACACAAAATGTATTACTGGAACTTTTTTGTCTACTAAAATCTGGTAAAATTCTATTTTCCTGTCAAGGTAAAGCTACATCAGTCACAGTCTGTGCCATTTGAAAATGTCGGTGTATAGTGATCCAATGAAATTTCATATTTCAGTGCAAAGAAATTTTATTGAAGTAACCACACCAAACAAAACGTTTAATGTACAGATGTGTTCGTTACTATACAGGGTGTCTCAGAAATAAGTACATCAATTCTAATTAGTTATAGAGCTCATCAAAATCAACAACTTTTTAATTATTTTAATTATCAAGTTAAAAATTGTTAAAGTTTCACCAAGGATTTTATTTTCGTAGACAGTCGGTTACAAAACATGAGAGAATTATTATTTTGTTATATGGATTTGTACCTTTATGTGTGGCAAGACCACAAATAAAAATATAATTTAATTTGAAAACTATCAGAAGAAATGCTATTTGAAGTTACGGAAATCAGTATCAGAAACTAAGAATAAACAATTAAAATACAATCATCTCTTCCTTGTGTTAATAGTTAAGCTAACAACAACAACAACAATGTGAATCACTGAAAATGAATGCCACTATAAATTTGCCTAACTTGAAACATTTTAGATGGAATAAAATCAATGTTAAAACAATTGTATTTTATTATTCATCCATAAAAGGTCAAGTTGAATGTCATGTTCACGCTATAAAATAGTCACTATGTTTACGTGCCATGGATATTGAATATATTCGTCAAGCGTACATAAATGAAAATTTGTATAAATTAATGGAAACGTAACACAAGAATATGGTTCAAATTCCACCAACAGTAATAATGTTTAACAACACTAGTCAAAACTTATTTGGAATGTGTTAAATCAAAGCCAATATGGCCTTCTTGCGACAATTTTGTTAACCCAAAAACAAAAATAAATTCAAGAACAAAATAACATCTTAAAAAAAAAACAAAACAAATGTAACTAAAGTACATTAACAATTTCGTAAAAAATAATTTCGTCATACAGCTTATTAAAATTTTATATAATTTGCTGTTACCTACTTTGATAATTTGCATCAACTCCAGACTAACGTTTATAATGATTATCGATAACGTCATGACTACAACAACTCAGAGAAAACGTTTACACCGACCGTTTAAAAATTTCACTCACTCTATCCAGTTTAGCAACCCGCATGTCGAATATCGTATTTGCTTTGGTCAGTTGAATTTCAACAAAAATTCTACCTCGATTAAGAAAACTCAAGACAAATTTGTTTAATGAATTAGGACTGTAAACTTTGCAACAACTAATTATCATGCTTTGAACAAGCGAAACATTAGCTTGTGAAAATTAATGAAGCTTACAACTCACTTATTTTGATACTAACGAAATTAAAGTTAACGTTTACAGTTTTATTAATTGTTCTGTTTTTTTAGAAGAACTAAGAGTGCAAACCCTACTTTAATAGTTTAGAACTGTCGACGTTGCTCACTATCGGCGTATTATGTACATTTTAAGGAGATATTTAAAGATGTGTTGCTACAAGTGATGGGTTTAAATTTTCATGGTAAATCTGACGCGTTCTAAATAATTTAAAAAAGTCAGTGCAGACGACGCAATTCAAGTTTCTCTTTTTTGTGTAATTAGTTTTTAAAGTTTATTTAAGAAATTCCATAATGGATTTCTGTGAAATTTTGGTATAGATATATAGAAGAAATTTGTTCCAAAAATTAACATCTACACTCAAAAAATTACTAAATGAATTTTAAAGCATGAAATGATTTATTACGTAATCGTTGATGTAATTTTTGAGAATTTCTGCGAAGAATTCAGATTTATGTTGCATTTGTATTTCAATCTCTATGAAAAATTCAAAGACGATGAATAAAAAAATTGATGAGGTGTTGACATGTATTCGCTAAATGACACATTTAAGAGACAAGGGATTTTGTGGACAGACATCTTCATCCCAATTTGTTTCTACAAAATTATTGTATTATTTTGTATAAAATCTTTCAATATGAAAGGAAAAAAATTATCATTCGGAAAGATGTCATCGTGTACCAGGTTCTGACAAGACAATTCAATAAAAAAAATTATAGCCGCTTATTTTTTCATTTCATAACCTAAGTTGACCAGAGATGGTGCTTTATTTTTTTTCCTAATTGTTAGAAAGAATACATTTCCAAGTGAAAACGGTAATTTCGCATATTATATTTTGTTCCCACTGCCCCAAGAGTTCCTAAACGTCTGAAATTGCTTTAAATAAGCACATTTTAAGTTCTGCAGTGTCAGAGTGTAGGCTTTTGCTGAGAATATCTAAAATATAAACTTCAAATGTAGAAAAATATACAGACTTGCTTGAAGACTTGTTTTGTTGTTTTTTTTTTTGGATAAGTACGAATATATTAATTTTCATCCAGTAATTGTAATATTGACCATAACGTCCTTCTGTTTTCAGAATTTACATGCTTTCTGATATGCTGATATGTTGTTCACTAAAATGTTAAAAGTCAATTTTGTCTAACAATTTTGTGAGTTAGTAATCAATTTTTTAAGGGATCAAGAAGCCCATTGTATAATTATTTTACCAAGCTTACAACGCCATAAAACCAAAAGATTTGTTGATCGATAAAAATACAATACAAAAATACAGGGACTGAAAATTTTAAGGCAAACAGATATATTTTGATTAAAAATTTACCATGCTTACAACAACGTTAAAACGTGTACAAAATTTCAAAACATTTGGTTTTGCAGTTCCTGATTTAATTAATTTAATCAATAAAATAAATTGACTCAATCATTAATTTTTTTTTTGAGTTACCCTGTATAAGCCATTCTAAAAAATATAAATGCAATGACAAATTACAAGTGTGGATTGATTCTATTTTGTACATGTTAAAGAGAATTTTTGGGACAAACTTTTGATGTGATGTCATAATTTTTTTAGGGGATAAATAAATATATTTAGATTAAAAATTTTGTCATGCTTACGATAACCTTAAAACGTCTGTAAGATTTCAGAGCATTGGTTTTGTAGTTCCTGATTTAATCAATAAAATAAATTAACTCATTCATTATTATTTTTTTTGGTCACCTGTATCAGCAAATCTCCAAAATATGTATGGAATGATAAATCACAAATATAGAATCATTTTAAATAGGATTTATTCGGCAAAATTTTGAGATTAACGTCATCAATTTTTTGGAGGGGACAAACAAATACATTTTGATTAAACATTTGTCATGCTTACGATAACTTTAAAACGTTTCTAAGATTTCAAAGCATTCGGTTTTACTGATTCAAAAATTGAAATTTAAAATACAAATATCTGGAAGTTTCGGGGAAAACTCAACACGAATTCATAAATTGCAAGTGTAGGACTTTATTATTTTCTACAATTTAAAACCTATTTACTATTTGGACAATTTTGAAGTGACGTCATCACATACAAAGGTTGGTTACCATGTACATAAAATTTGAGAACAATCGAAAATTTGACACAGACGGCCGTCAGACAGATATACAAACGGAAACGGGAGACCTATGTTTTTGTAATCTAGGGGGTCGTGACATATCAAATGCAAATGTGAAAGTAACCAGTCGTTCGACGGACTCGATTATAATACTTCCTTAGCTTACGCTCGGGAAGTAACAAAAATTATTATTTAAAAAATAAACAACATAACTCAATTATATATCATATACCTTTTTAAGAATATTTCTTATGGCAATATTTATGTAAAAAATCAATTTTTGTGAATATACGAGAAAATCTAAAATCTGACGTAACACAATGTTCCTAGGATCAGCCACTTTCAAGTTAACCCCACCACTTGACTTATTCTAAGTAGAATTACCAATTGTGTATATCTCATCTGATCAATAACTCTGAACTCGGGTTTAAAAAGATTTCAAATTCTGCAGAGACGATATGGACAGAAAACAAATTACTAAAACAGTGGCTATAGCAATAAATAATTACTTAGAAAAATAATTACCATCTGTAAATTTAACTTCATAATTGGACCTAAGTAGAAGAGTAATATTATAATTTCTGGTACGTTTATTTTTCTATATTTAACAGTTGTAAATTATAAAAGTTTTCAAATTTAATCTGGCAAATATTCAAATTTTTAACTTTTTTTTAATTTGTAAATTTCTAACATACAAATATTCCCAATTATTGTATTCAACAGTAATTTCTTGAATCTGCATTACATTTCCTACGAAGCTTGACTTGATTTAGAACTCCAACTGATTTTGTAAAAAGGACTTTTACTTATTGTTGTTATTCCATCGTAATTTAGTTTTATTCTTAATTTGCGTTATTTATTTTATATATCCCTCTTCTTTTATTAGAGAGAGATTTTACAAATTTATTAGGTTTTGTAAGTTGCGAAGGGTTATTCACATTTATTACAGGTATTATTTTATTTAATTATTATTTATAACCATAAAATTTTAAGGAAATAATTTCATTTAAATAAAACAAATTTCGTCCGACAAATGCTAGACACTTCCTTCATAAAAATACCTCATAAGCGTATCTGACCATATCGAATGGATGCACGGGTTCTTCTCCCCTAATTTTGGCCCCCACCAAGTCCCAATTCGTGAAATTCTTCACATAGAAGACGAAACTCGTCGGCGTGATTTCTTCCAAGCCAGGCATGAGGAAATCTGAAGGGAATGCGCTAATGAAGGTGATGTTGTGACCTCTGGGAATGAGTCCTCTGGCCAATTCCCAGAAGGGAATCTTGTGAGACTTCGTTCCGCCCATCGTTATCATCAGGATATTGGCGCAGGTACATACGTTTATCACAGCCATAAAGGTTGTCATTAACGATAACCTTCTAATGTCCATTGCTGAAAAAGAGGCTACGGTAATGAATGTTGCAGGAAATGGTTTGTTTAAGTTACATAAAGTAATTTGCAGGACCGCAACGCTGATATTGACAGAATCATTTTCACCGCGAAGACATGTGCTCATGTTACTTTTTTACCGATTAATTTGACCAACTTTCTCTTTCGGTCAAGGTCGGATAAGATTTTTTCCATTACGATTTATTTAATTGACCGTAAAATGAAAATTTAAATTAAAGTGCTTGTAAACACAAGTTTCTCTCTTAAATTAATGCGGCTTGCAACATATGCTGTCTACCTGTGACGCCGGTGAGCGACTTCATTTTAATATTAAATGATATCGTCTGACAGTGGACATCCTCCTAATGAATATTCTCAATAGTCCAAAAAATAACAGTTTTTTAGTAGTTGAATTGTTTCGATATACTCGTAATGCAAACATTGCATAAAACTGTAATAAAATAATGCGGGAAGTTGATCGAATTGTAATTTTACGTAATATATTTTCCTTTACCTATTTAGTATATAGATATCGATTTCTACAAAGTTATTTGTATGTAAAAAACTACAAGATTAAAAAGTAGTTGTTGATTTCCTCAAGAGAACAAAAAAGTATGAGGTCCCACCGAGATTTGAACTCGGATCGCTGGATTCAAAGTCCAGAGTGCTAACCATTACACCATGGGACCTGCGCTTAGCGGATGTAGATATCACACATTTACACGCAGCGTGGTGCAAGTAAGAATTGGTTATTTATTAATCATTCACTAATAAAGAAAATAAATTCAGTTGATTTATACATTAATTTACAGTAGTGCATAATCATGTCACATAATACATAAACATATAAAAATAAATAAAAATAACGTAATTTTTCCACAGTGAACATAAATATTAGTTTTTGCACTTTATTTGACGTTTAAGACATTATATAGTCTTCAAACCGAGATTTTGTAAAGTAAAAAATCTTTTGGTTTACCTCCAAAAAATAAAATGTAGGAAACAACTCTGTAAAATCTAGTGTTTGAGAGTTTGCATAATATTAAAATTTTTATTTCCGAACAGTTCTTTTCAATATTTTCTTGACGTGTCATGATCTCTAGAATAAGAAAAAAGTGGTCTCCCGTTTCCGTCTGTCTGTTTGTCTTGTGTCTGTATCCATTTTTATTAGACAAGTAATCTTCTTAACCACTGGACCGATTGTTGTCACATTTTCTATGTATAGCAGGACTATAGTGTAGATAGTTAACCGCTAACTAAAATTTGGCTAATCATCCCTACCACGAATGGGATGATGTCATCTCCAAAATTTATAGTAAAAAGTTTTTAAATTTCAGAATGTAACATACTCCTACACCTTTTCACCCTACACATTCAGAATTTTTGGAAAAAATTCAAAACTGAATAACAATATTTTGCAATATAACTTTGAAACTGCGAAACCGATTGTTCTGAAATCTTATAAATATTTTAAGGTTATCATGATCATGGTAAACCGCCAACAAAAATTGATTCATTTGTTCCTTCCCAAAAAAATTTCGTCAAACGCCATTTCAAAATTTTGCCAAATAAATCCCATCCAAAATGTGCAAAATTTGATAAGTCTATTCTTGTGACTTATCGTTGCATTAAAAGTTTTAAAATTTCTTATAGGTGACATAAAAATTAATGAATGAGTCAATTTATTTTATTGATAAAATCGGAAACGGCTCACTCTGTTTTCCCAAAAATTTGAGAATACAATACTGTTATCATTAGTAATACACTGCACCTATCCAAAGTGATATACGCGTCTTTGCAAAAAAGTTGATAACTTCATCACAAAATTTTGTCAAGGAGAACTCATTTGGAACATACACCCAGCATGCTTCTTTACATTTAGTTTAACGTTATATATACATATCTTTATTTTAACTTATAACTTATAAGGATAAAAAAAAACGCATATTCAAATTTTATAATTTTTCGAAAAAGCTGGATTCGTTTGATTGTATTTCAGAGGCGAAGAAGGTTCTGTCGAAATAACCTTCGAACAGTTTTTTGTTCTATAATTTTCCGTCAAATTATTAATCATCCTGTATACTTAAGGTTATAGTTCGTGTAGAAGTTTTAGCAGTTCATATTTCTACAAATAAATCACTTTTGAAATATTTCACGTTATTTTGGCTTGACGCTTCCTTAATAAAATAAAATATTATTATTTATATATAACGTAAATTTTGAAAATAAAATGAATCACTGCCTTCTATATTTGTTTAGCATATATTGGGACACTGCAATTATGTTTCGTTGAATCTTTAAAAAGTGAGGAAGTATTGTCCATCGGACGACTGGTTGATTTCATGTATTCTTATAATGTATCATGACTCCAAGTTTACCGTCTGTCGTATGTCCGCGTCAGTGCTGATTCTGATTGACTGTTAATCTCCGAAACTATCGGACGATTGTTGTCAAATTTTGTGTCTATATTAGCAATATCATGTAGATGGTAAAAGGCTACTAAAATTTGTTTGGTCATCCCCACACCAACAATGACGTCATTTCCAAATTTTGCAACAGTAAAAATGTTATTTAAATTTTATAAAATTAAAAAAAATCTACTTGTAGTTTATGAATCCGTGTTGAGTTTTTACCTTTGATATCCAGATTTTTTGAAAAAAATCATAATTGTACAACAACATTTTACAATTTAACTTTGAAATTGCAAAACCGAATGATCTGAAATCATGTAAACCTTTTAAGGTTATCGGAAGCATAGTAAATCGTTAATTAAAATTTATCCGTTTACTGCCACTCTAAAAATTGATTATGTCATTTTACAATTTTCCACTACATGCTAATTAAAATTTTAAAAAAGTAGCATCGTCCTGCATGTTGAGTTAATACTTAGGGGGAGATTCTCGAAACTCGATAAGGCCTTGCAAGGATCTGCAAATTCAAAACCATAGCAACATGTATTGTTGTTGCATTGTATTTGCAGGTTCGATAGCGATTTGCAACTTATCGGAGTTTCCAGAATCTCCCCCTTAGTTATTACCCCAGACATGTAGAATTTTGTAAAAAAAGATCTGAATTGTGTAACAATATTTTTTCGTTTAACTTTGATACTGAAAACCAAATGTTTTAAAATCTTGCAAACGTTTTACGGTTATCGGAAGCATAGTAAATCGTTATTGAAAATTTATCCGTTCATCCCCTTCTAGAAAAATTCAAAAAATTTCCGAGTATATCTAAAATTTGCACAATATTAAGAATCTATAAGTACTTGTGGTTTATCAATGCGTTCACATTTTTTAAAATTGTTTGTACAATGTGACAAAAAATTTAATGAATGTGACATGTTTTATTGTCCATCCCATTTTACCGAAAATTTGAGGATGTAGTAGTGTTATTGGTAACAGTACACTGCACCTATTCAAAATGTCTTTGGTAAAATGTTGATGACGTCATTTTTTTTTCTATGGAAAAACTTTCTCTTTTTTAACTGTAGTTTAACAATCCACACATACAATAATTTTAGCTTATTACCAAAAAAATAAGATACTCAAAGTTTAATTTTATAATTTTTCGAAGCTGTATTCAACTGTACTTTAGGGATGAAAGAAGTTCTGTCGAAATAATTTTCGAGCAATTTTTTTATTTTATTTTTTATATTTTCTGTACTAACAGAAATATATTCGTTTCCAAATACATGCATACGAAAGTTTTTGGGCTGCACTATTTTCACGTAAAACGAGTTATTGAGATTCATATTGTACGAACAGATGTATGTACCTATGTAGTTTAAAACTCTTCTGTTAAACAACTGAAGTTAATTTCTACAGCTTGACACACTTATAACAATGTGTAAAATACTGCCTTACAATTTTTTTAATTCAGTCTCTGGAAAAATACTTTTAATAAAATTAAATTGCAGTGAACTTAACTTGTTTCCATAAAAAGGTTAATATTTCCAGGACATTGTACTAATTATTATTTATTTGTTGCAATTATTCAAACAAGTTAATTGATTTTAAAACATGCAAATTTACTTCTTATCTGTAATGTAACTAATGATGTGTGTATAAAATGTGTAAAATCTATCAAGATTAATTTACACTAAATTTAAAGAAGATAGTTAACAGAAATTATATACGAAAGTTTTCATTTATATTAAGATTAATATTGGTTCCTTTGCAAAGATATTTATTACTAAAACTTGAAAATATAATAGGAGTAATATGTATTAATTATGGCAAAAAGCTAGAGAGTTGCAATAAAAATAATTTTTAGTTAATTTAAAGTTTTAAACAACTGAATTTTGTTTCCTGCTTATTTCAAATCATCCTTTCCATTTATGTAGCTGAAAGTAGTAGAGCTAGTTTCCATTTTTTTAATGCATTTTAAATTTATTTATATTGCTTTAGTATCAAGTCCTCTGCGCCATGTTCAAAAAGTAGAACATTTTTTTAAATGAAATAAATCATTCTGCCTTGAATTTATATCACAAGCACAGAAAACTATATTTCGAAATTTATTAATAATTGTGATTTACCAATTATTGAAACTTGCTTTGAAAATACTGCTTCCACAGTGTCAAATATGATGCAACAAATAAACACGTGATTTTTGTAATCCAAACAGGTGGTAACTATCTGTCGTAACATTTGTTTATAAAAACGTGTTATTTTCATAATCCAGATATCATCATATTATGACGATTTATACCGAGTGTTCGTAATTGTCAGGTTTGTAACATATTTAAAATTTTATACTGATTGTCAAATTAACATTTATAACATCAAAATAAAATAAATAAAATTGACGACTGTGAACTCATATATATTAGCATTGCTGCCAATAATTCAGACATACCAAAACAAAAATTTTCTGCAATCATTAATGGTCACTTGATACTTTAAAATATTTTGTTCCCAAAAATCCAACAGTGTGTACGAAGTCTATACTTGCATGAGGCGAACCAAATTTTTTGACATTTTATTGAATATTGAACTATTTCGAAAAGCAAATAAATTTTTAAGAGATTAATTCCACAAATATTTTCGTTTTGTGAAGTTTGGCTGTGAAAATTGTGTTGTCTATAATTTTGTAGGAGTAATTTTTAAAGTCCTAAATTAAAAAATTGCAATTCGTTGCTAAACTAAGATACGCACTAACGAATTTCGTACAGGCCATTGCTATGATTATTATTATAATTACTGTTATTAGCTTACCCATATCTTTTGAGTATACATCAGGAGGATCTTTTAATCAATTTCTGCTTTCTTTTTAACATTAGTGTACATTTAGTACAAAGCATAGTTTTACCTATTATATTTAAACGTTTTCAAATAATATTAAAATCTATGAATGAGCTTTGTGCATTTGAGCTAATACCATAAAAATTGTATGTGTATGAACACTGTTCTCATTTACGATTTATTGATTCTCTGTTATATTTATTACAACGTATAGATACAACAATTCTACTTCAAAAACTATTAAAAAAAAAGATTCATTAAAATAGGTGCATTTTACATTAAAATTAGATAAAAATCTCCGCACCGGTAGAGCAAACTAAACAAAATAAAAAAATAAAATAATAGTCTCCTCTAAGGCCTAAATCGAACGAATCGGAAAAGTTTATTGCATTATTGCCCAACAAATACCGGTCTGTATCAAGGCATTCATCTCATTTTCTTCTTTTTAAAGTGATTAGATAAATTCCTTTCTCGTAATAATTAGATGATGTCTCGACGGATCGTAATTTAACGTTAGAAGCTCTTTATCTCGTTCTAATTCCGTTTGTAGACAACAATAAGAACCGTACCAGATTTTCTTAACCTCAAGATGTTAATTGCCATTGCGTGTCACATAATCATAGTTATTATCACACTTTATTCCACTTAGAAGTTAATCCGCTTTGATCTTGACTTATCAAGACCAACATGACCAAATTTCACAAAATATTGTACCGAAAGTTATGCACGTAATTAACACAATCAACGTATGGCTGTATTACTTTTCTTCGTAGGTAAGGTTAGTGCACCGGTACAATCACTTGCGGATTTTTTTACTTAAATTAGCTCACAGTGTATGAAATAATTTTGAAAGATATTGCCGCCACAAGGCCGCCAGTCACCGCCGTACCCTCTGCTTTGTAAAAATCGGAAATTCCGCTTGGAAAACCAACAGTATTGTCACAAACAGAAGAAAAAACTGGACCGGTGAGTAGAGTTATGCACGTGCGAAAAGAAAGTTGTATTTCTGTATAACTCGGTTATATAAACATAAAATCGATTAAGAAGGCAACAAACCATTTTACTACGAATACCAGTGACGTATTAATTAAAAAGTGCAAGTGAGTGATAGTGAAAGATGCTGGCGGGCTCTTTCGCAACTTGGATAAATGTCGTCCGCAGATGAAGAAAATCTCTCTTTGTTCCGCTACTTTCTACACACTGTTTATTCGATAATTTTTCAGTTGAAACGAAAATTCAACCACTGAAACAAATTAATTTGCAATGGATTCAACTATATTTTTCTCATAGCAATTAAAATTAAATTGCTGCGTGGGGTGTATTAGAATTACGCTCACTCGGAAGTCGTTATTACTCCCCAAAATGGACATGTTGTGTACTTCATCGAATAGCTGCATAATTTAATAGCACTGTTAGAGGTTTTGCTTTATAAACAATGTGTATGTGGTTAAAAGTCTAATTGATTTGGCAAAAAGTTAACCGAAATAACATTGACATTGATTGAAACAGTTTCATGACTGGTCTAGTTGCGTAAAGCTAAATACAACATGGACCTCCAGTAACGAACCGATTTATTAAAATCTTGTTTGTTTTCGTGATTAATGCCACCTAGAGCGAAACCTCTTTGATATTCACACAGTGCAATCTTTGGATTTATTTGGCATATTTTATTAGTAGCGTAAGAAAACGATGAAACAGACCATAAACTCTCAAAAACGTCTAATAAAACTTACATTTTTATAAAATGAAATCAGAAAGTGTAACTAACATTGATAACCCGGTTATTAAAAGTTTCATTATTCCAAAAAAAAGTCAAAAACCTAAACTTACTTGTGTACAAAATTTGCACAAGATTTGTCCACTTCAAATCAACACATGTTAAGAATCACATTCACACTGTTTTCTAAGCACAGGAAACACTGTCTCTGTAACACAAATTCCGATCCTTCATATTGACATTTGTTTGTTGGTGTGGAATAGAAACATAAGTTGATGTAGTACCACAGAAAGTAAACTGAATACTAGCTGGTTACAGTGGAACGATGTCGAAAGTGGAGGAGAAATGGTAATGGTACCGCTTTAGTACCATCTCATGTTCAGTTGCATTGGTCGGATTGTAGTGGTTTCATAATGTTCGTTACATTATCACAAAATTGTCAGCTTACTGAAAGCTCATGTTGGACACGTTTCATTAAATTACCGAAAAAAATACAAAATATATGGGGCGTTTAATGACTGCCTACATTAAAAGACAACAACTTCCTTTATGAGATATAGATCTGTATCGAAACATAAAAAATAATGATATTATTGTGAATGTACATCATGATTAGCAATATAAATTTCCGGTGTCGGATTTTTCTGTTGCTATATTTTTGTTAGTGAAACGTATAATTTGGTTTTAATGATTTTTGCAAATTTCGTCAGGCTTTAGTATTCTGACGCGGTATTGAGCAAGTCCGAAAGTAGTTAAACGACTTTAAAACATGTCTACCTAGTTCTTCATTAAAAATTAAAGTCGCATTTATAATGAATCATAATACAAAATTAAAAATTTTACCTAACAAGAAAAAATATTTTTTAGTTGCAAAGTCACGGTATTGCAATCATTTCTAGTTTTTATTAAAAATAATTTTAATTTAATTCACACTATTTTATGGTTAAGTTAACTTACCTTCTCCAAATTTAATACTCAAACAGCATTTTCCTTTCTTTAAAACGTTTAACGATTCACAAAATTTAGGAGTGTATTAAATGATTTATAAAGTTTTATTTATTCGTTTTAAACTTTCTTTTAAAACGTGTTTATTTCGGATTTAATTTCAATTTATGTGTTAGAAAAAAATAAGTAAAGTTTAAATTTTACAAGGAAATTTGTAATGCAGTTATGGTGAGTGACTATTAATGATTGTGGTTTTTTTCATCAGATGGGCAACAGATTTAAAATTTTATGGTGCCACAGCTGATTGTCGCAATGAAATTTAGGGCACCACGTCATCTTCTCATCACATTATTGTAAGGCGCGTCAGGAGCGCTCCTGACAAAATTGACAACCCAGAACTGATAAGTTAACATTGCTACCAATAATTCAGAATTGCTAATAAAAAAATTTGCTTCACTCATTAATAGTCATCCGGCATTTTTACAGTGTTTTTGACGTAATTATAATTTTTACATTGTTAAACCAGCACTGGAAGTTTGAACCTATTTAACGTTCACTACCTGTCACAAAAGGACAGTGCTAATATAATTAATAACATGTTTTATAAATGCATACATAAGTAAGAAAATTAAGATTCTTCACATTATATGTAAAAATTAAATGCACTGTAACTCTTTTTGAATTAAATTATGGTCAACTTCATTGATAAAACAATTCCTTTCTCAAAAAACATCACAAGTAAATAATTTAGACGTTCACTGGTAAAATAAAAAAACAAAAGTTAGATTTCTGTCTACTTAAAGTAAGAAGATACATATGTACAACCATATAATTATGTAGCAACATTAACTTTTATTGTCTAACTATGTCTTAATTAACAAATTTTTATTTTATCATTCCAGATGAGTATTTTAATAGTAAAAATTAAACTAGCTTTTTCATTTGTTGAGGGGGAGCGGTGGGGCAACTCTGTTCAAGATGACTTTTACAATTTGTCACCAAGGTAACCTGATTTTGAAAGTAGGTATACGTACATTATAGTATCAATTACTATCGTCCTACCGGCTAAAATAAGAAAAATGTCTACTAGGAAGGTACTGAAATATATTTTAGGGTTTTCAAGAGCACCTAAACTTCTGGTATATTGTACTAAAAATTTTAATTTCGGAATTTTCTTCGCAAACCGATGTTAACTTGTACCACGCGAACACACAGTATTTAACGTGATTTATTATCTACGTATACGTTAAGGGTTAGATTGTACTATGTCTAGTAGTGTGAATTGATGCTCTATCTTGTTGAAAATGCAATTCTTATCTCACTGACAATATACATTCTACAAGAATTTTAAACAATCATGAGTTTTGTTTTATGGCCTTCTAGTGCATGTAAAAAGCGACGTTGAAAAGATTTAATTGTCTGACGTCGAAAACATCTTCAAACTTTTTGCTGTAAAACAGTCTTACAAGTTTACAGTCATGCCTTTAAGACGAGTGGATTCACGATTAGCTTGTCTCATCAAAGAGACGTTTATTTTCTCGTCTTCGTTTGTTTTGAATCCCGGTTCCAGTCTCGTTAAAAAGTGTGCTCATTTTAAAATTATACGATGAATTGGTGAAGGCTCTGATTGCCTTAAAACTCGATAACAACTGCTAGACAATTTAAAACCGGCTAATCGGATTACTACAACTTTTTCAGTAACTGTTAATAGTTCTTAAGCCACCGTGTCAAATATTTTGTCAATCTAACAACTGACACGACAGTATAATATTTGCAACTAGAGTTGTTTTTATAAAACACTTCTCACAATTTTTTAACTTTGAAGAAAGATTGCAAAACATAAAAAAATACTCCTAATAATTTTTATATAGAGTCAGCATATTTTTGCAAAAATTTCAAAACGGTTTTTCACCATATAATAAGGTTAATGAAGTGTTCTTAATGAACACACATTTTATGTAAATATACGGGTACTTTTAAAATTTTATCCTAGAATCTTTCAAAGTATTATCATCAACAATCCTTTTCTACTTAACCCAAACATGACAGTAGTTTTCAAAGTACTTACTTGTATATGCACATTATTATTTCAGACACAACAATAATGTGTTTGGAACAAATAAATAAGGTACTGCATCAAATTTGTTAACTATATAATATTAAATCAAATTTGGCCGCCATAAATAAACCGAAATGTTTTTATATCAAATAGTAGATAGGTATGTCAAGTTTTCATGTATTGATATTGCTGTATCCAATCGGTTTTATTTCAGCCTATTAAACTAACCATTTTTTCTATTACGTTATAACCATCAAAAAATCATATAAAATATAAAATTAGCAACCACAACACATTAATAGCTACCCACTTCTAGATCTGCCTACCTAAATTGTCATTAGATTTTCCTCCATTGTCTTATATCCTATTATATAATAACAATAAGGAAACACCATCTAGACTGAGGTCGCGAAGGTGTTGACAATAACAATTAATGGTGCCGCTGTTACCCTTGAAGAGAAATTTTGAAAGTTCGTAAGCGGTGTTTTAACCTGAAAGTTTGCCTAATATAAAAGTAAACAATGATTCGGTACTTTACTCGCTACAACCATAAAAAAAAATCAGCTCCAACTTCAATTAATTCGAACCAAGACGTTGACCTACCCACAGTGTTATTAACGATTCATTATGAAATGGCTTGTTTGTTGGAATCTGTCTAAAATTGTGCAATTTAACTTCTCTTGAACTGTTCAATGCTTCGATAAACAAGTGTTTACGAAATTTCACTAAGTACTTTTTCTTCGGGCATTAAAGCAATCAAAAGTCGAAAAACCGACAATGTTCATTTCGGAAAATGTGTGTCAGTAATAAGCATACGCAACTTTCAAAGTACCTTCATGCTCAGTGAGTGTAATTATTTGAACTAATTTATAATACTGCTATAGGTGAAACGATTACGTTGTGTAATCATTTAATAAAAGCACAAATGCATAATAAATCGATTAATTACTAATACCCGAAACCATACCTCAGGGGTCACCGCCGCCAATATTTACAAGGTTTAATCAACGACATTTGCACACCATATATACTATACCAACGCCTATAAACGTTTTGAATGCAGTAATTGACCGTGTTTTAATTATATCATATTATAATAATTAAATGAAGACGTGTATTTTTTTTAAACTTGACTTTTGGAACAACTCAGACTGTCGTATTAATTTCAGGTAGGTTCAAGAGAAAGCGAAGTGAAAATATCGTTCAATATCGTATGTATACCCATAATTTATAAATAATAATTTCCAAATGTTTCAAAGTTACGACTTCCTAATATTATTTCTAATTATCGTGGTACTTCTCATTGGTTGTTTGGTGCTTCTTGAACTACGAGGTACCAGATGCTGGTTCATTAACATTATACGATCCATTAAACAAGTAAATCCTTTCATTTTCGCCACTTGGCTGCTTCGTGGAATACAGTTGCATCTAAAAGAAAAAACAATTTGGTAATGAGTTAAACGAATTAAGTTGTTTTGATTACGGCTTCTGTGGAACCAGTTAGGGAAATTTCCTTACAATTTCGGTATTTTATTATGTCAGATCGAAGGGAAAGTGTGGGAATACCCACGTGCAGCGAGTCAGTGGTTTTGTCTTAAAAGTTCAATTTAATTATTTAGATATGACACAGCATGGTTAAGTTTTAATGCGCCTTGTAAATAATGGCATCGTTTCAAAAAGTAAGCCGTTTACAACTGCAGAATGTTGTCTATTAAATTTTTGCAAAGATCTAATTCCTTCACATAACTGTCACAAAAATGGCAACAATTAAATACTGAAGGAAGTGTAATAAAAAACATAAAACTAACTTTTTGTAAAAATTATTAGCAAAAGTAAAAGGAAAATAACAACGACTGTGTAACAAATCTCACAGTCCTTTTACTGTTGTTTAATATGCTAATTGATGTTTAAATGTGAATTTTATTCTTTTCTACTTAATTTGATTTCTGATATTGTACATATTTAATTGTATCTACAAAATTTGAATTACATTAGATAGCAGCAAACAGTGAAAGCTAACTTGACAAAGTCTCAACAGCTCAGAATTTTTCTTTAAGAAATATAAATTTTTAACACAAAATTAGCAATTTTTTAATTAACATTATTAAAATGTTGACTTAATATGAATATTATTTTATTCGTCAACTCTAACTTGTTATTGTTTACTTTAAAATAAAATATTAGCCTATACAAAAAACTATGAATCAAACTTAAGAGTTATTTGGACATGCAAAATGTTTAAAAAAGACATATTTAGTTTATTTTCAATTGCAGAGCATCAGATAAATGTTGGAGTCGTAAAAATAAGGCAAATGTGT